GAAAGTGAGGGAGACAGGGAGAGGAAAATCAAAGAAAAATGATTCGAAAGAATAGAGAACGGTATGAAAATAACTGGTGCAAATTAAGGAGAGGTAGGGAACAGTCAATAGAACACTATGGTGGTGAGGACAATAAATTATGGCCAACTCTATATAGTTGGCAGAGAAAGCACAGAAGAAAACAGAAGAAGTATGTTCTCCCTTGACTCCTCCCTCCCAAAGAAAAAAAATCCTCATGATTTTGACTTGAAATGATTTTTTAAATGGCCTGCAAAAATGTTTCACCAATTATAAAAAAACTTAAATGACATCGCTGCCTAGGTTGGTGTTGGAAGATATTAAATTACTTAAGACTTATTATGAATCACGATAACCGAATAACATAATTCAAATACTCATAATATTGCACAAGCAAAAATGTTACGTTAACATTAAAACTGATACAATTTTGTTAATTTTTTAAAACGGGCATTGAATAGCTCGCAAGTAATGTTAAATGTTACTTATTAGTTAATATTCATCACTTAGAATATTATTACCTACAATGATTACGTGGATCTAATAACTATAATACCTAGCTACATTACGATAGTTGGGTTTAGATAGATAATTTATTATTTTACAGTACTGTTACATTGGTAAGCTAATTTGCAATTATTCGACCGAATAATTTTACATACATTATAATATCCATGACCTGTGCAATAAGTGTCATTATCCTCGTCGTACGTACGCAGCAGAAATAATCGGTTAGGTTATAACTTATAAGTATTATAATAATTACATAAATAATAAATAATATAGCAACGTAAAATCTGCATCTGTAACGAGTTTTATGGATTTTTCGATTCGATTAAAATAACTTAAGACATTTTAAATACGAATGAGTGCGTATTTAAATGTTTTATTTATAGCTTGACTACGGCAGTTGGCGTTATGACGCGTAATAAATTGATTAGTCATTTACATAAGACTTTAAAATTAAATAATTTTAATTTCTTTTAAATATACACCAAAAACAGCGCGAGAAAATAAAAATAGTATACCTTACAACATAAATCAGATATTTCCCGGTATTCGTGTGTAATGGCTCCCATTCGTTTTGTGTTTACCTATAATATTTTTAAACCTGATTATTCCGATTAGAAACTGCAGCTATACCAAATACTATTAATAATAAAGTTGTTACCTACCTGTTGCACGTGATTAGGATACTATAAGTGTATCTGCGATCAAAAAATATTTGATGTAATTGCGTTTATCGTTTATCAGAAGACAGTACAAACGCGAAAATGAAAATATAATATTCTCCCGACGGTTTGTCGTACATAATATATTAGGTATGTAGTAGGTACTACACTTTATTACTTACTACTTTACTAATAATGATCGGGTTCGATAACCTTATACCAGATGGCAGATAAATAAATAATGATTATGATCGTTTTCGATTGTGCACGTTCCAAAGACAATAATAAGAATAAACAAATGCGTATATAATATACTTGTTCGCATCGGTAATTAATCGCAATGTCATCATAATATTAAACCTGTACGATGAGTCGATAACAATTAACAACTATATAAGGAATTACGATCGACGAATTCAAAATATTATAATATTCTCGAACGACGCTCAACACACGATTACTCATTAGTCATTGGTATGCATACGATATTTAAAACACGACGAATAGGTACGAATACACGATAAATGGCTTGCTAGTGAGTGGACAGCGGTCGACACTATTTCTATACCTATTCATGATGGCTATTACTTATCTATAGGCGATAAATAGTAAGTACTCGGGTACACCAACTAATAACTATACAAGTACCCAAGTCTTAAAAACAGCTGCACGATTGAGTTGTATTAATATTAACCCAATTACTTGGACGTATACAATTATCGAAGTGACAGAAGTGTCAACCTAATTGTATGTAGGTTCTGCCTCTGCGGTGCTAAAGTGGCGCATTTGAGTGTGACAGAGAATGGTAATTTTATTTAGTGACGGTTATGCACGAGAGCTTTTATTTTAAACATCGTTGTTCTTGTTATTTTAACGTGTTTGTTTTATGGTGAAAGGAATGATGCGATCCTATGATTAATCCTTATATTATCTACCACGTTTCCGGGAGCAATTTGCTAACAAATTGTACTTTGGACAGGTCAGCACGACATACATACACGGCATTTATTATCATTTATCACACAGAAGCGAGCGGTCAACAGCGTACATCTCGATGCACAACTAGGAGTCACTCTAAAGTCCAAATTGGTACGCGGTACGTGTAACTTCCTACCCACATACATTGGCCGTACATAATGCATGAAAATAAACTACAGTATTTTATTCTGGCTGTTTAACATAATAATATGTACGTCTGATACTCTGATACACCGCCGTACAAGTGTTATTAAACATATAATAAAGTGTATTTGATCTGTCAATATCTGTCTATGGGTCATACTGACGTCGATCTTCTATAATATCTCTGAAGATTTACAGAAAATATTGACTGCACATTGTCATACAAGTATTGAAGAAGCAGCAGCTACCTATCTAATTTGTAATTTGTATGCTCATTAATGCTTTTTATTAAGTCATTTTATGCGTGTAAATTAACTGGTGTAGGTATTTAAGTACTGTAATACTATACAATTTATATATTATAATACAATAATACAACCATAAAAATCAAACCAAGTAATTGCAAAATAATTGAAGATAGATAATATAATTAGATAAATGTAGGTATCGACATTTGGTACATAGTCAATATTATTACTTAACTATTAAACTAAGCGTTTGAATAGTTAAAACTACTTATATTTCTAAGCTATTCTGTAAGTGGTTAAAAGTTTTAGAACCTAATATAAATTTACATATAATGAAAATTTAACTTTAATGGGCAGCTGTTATTTTACCAGGAATAAAATTATATTATATATAAAATATTACTTATTTAGGATTATTTTTTATTAAAAACGCAGAAACAAAATGCAAAAACTGCGTTTAATTTAACACAATAAGTGTTGATCTGAATTATTTCTTAAAGGAAAATATAATTACATAAAACATACACCTCTAAATTTTATGGAATTTAACATGATTCATTAAAAAAATACATTAAATAGCATTGTTATTGCATGCACATTATCAAAAACTATAATTCTTATTTATCATTATAACTTTATACAAGTTAATAAACTAACCTAGTACTTATTTGTCACCCCCACTAAGTCAACCATTTGTACGTACGTTGTGTAGTTAAGTCATGCCCACACGCACAAGTTAACTGCCAAGTCATTTTCTTAACTAAAGTATAGTATATTAATTAAATTAAATTCAGTTACTTATGATGTTGCATAGAATTAGTTATCCTAAAAATAATGTTTTGAATATATTTATAATGAATTAAAAAAAAACCAAAGTATACCATTTTTACAGAAAGGAAGATGAAGTAATGGATTCATCGACTGTTGAAAGAGACAAGGCGCAGTGTGCTGGAGTTGTAAAATGCACATACTAGAAAATATTATGTAACTCATATTTATAATAATAAAACTGGTTTAAATTTAATTCTACATAAATAAATATAAATTAAAATGAAGAACGTTTAGTAACAAATTTACCAACTGTTTTGGTGTAGCATTCACGTTGTATACTAACTAAATTATACTATAAACCATATTTCTTTAATAGTAAAAACATGAACATTTGATATTTGAAAATGATCAAAACCAAGATACAATTGAATCAGTGTAATAAATAAATATTAGGTATATAATAAATACAAAAATAAACATTTAGTTAAAATTTTATTTAATCACCCAAAATAATAAATGTATACTCTTTACAAAATAAATACTTGATAACATTTGTGCACAATAATAAACAATTATACTTCAATCCATTGATCTAACAATAGTGATTTACTTGTTAGATCAATTGATTGGTATATTAATAAAATAACAATATTTTATTTATTTATCTTAACATTATTTACAAGTGTATCAAAATATGACTATAAAGTACCATTATGTACCTATTTACTTACAAAAGGAAAATGAGATGTGAACACATTATTTTAATTTTATATTATACATTATTATAATAAGAAAACAAAATATTAGTTATTTAGGTAGGTACACCGTAAAAATAATAACTAAAAATAAAAATATTTGGTAAAAATCTTAAAATTTAATTAAATTTTATGAACTACCTAAATGGATTTTTTGTTGTTCAATAAAAATAATTAAAATGAACTCTAGAATCTGTCACGAATAATAATTCTTTAAATTATACATTAATGCTAACATTTTATAATAAAAATGATAACAATGGATAATTTTTGAAGTTATTTTAAATACTGGTCTCTTTAAATATCAATAGAATAGAATATGAGATAGTTAAGGTTAGTTAGGAAAGCAGATTTTTTTCTTAATTAACATGCAGTTTTGAAACATCTAAGTACCTAAGTGTAATAATTATTAACATTACCAATTTTAAAAATTATTTAGATTATTTTAAGATTAATCAATGTGTTTCAACATGGTAATTATAATAATACTGCGAACAAAATAGTAATTCAACCATTTTAGTATATTATTTATGATTATTTCTGTAGAATTGTAAAATAATCAAATTTTAATATTGGATGATTAAAATTAAAACGTGTAATTAAATGTTTCAAAATATGCTTGATAAAAAAATTAGGATATCAGAATTGTTCAATACATAATATAAATAAAAATTTTTTATCAACATTTTAATGGCATTAAAAATAACTAACAAATCTCAACTATAAATAGACATTAATTTATCACATTTTATTTTTTATTATTCCTATGGGTTTTAATACATACCTACTTTATTAAACTATTTATTAAAAGTTATCACTTGTACACTTCAAAATAAAAAAAAAAATACATTAATATAGTTAAATAGTTCTCAAAATTGCTTAATTGTTTAAAAAAAAATAAAAAGAAAATATCGCAAAACCAAAATCAAAACAAAATTAAATTGTTTACAATTAAAAAAAAAAAATAGTTAAGTTTGTTCAATGGGTAACAAACTGAAAAATGGCTAAAAGGCAAACAAAACATAAAATATATAAGAAAGAGAGATCAAGACATGATTAAATTTTTGGATCAATTATAATAATACACACTACTTATCGAATGTTTGTAAAAAGGTTTAGTTTTGACTTGGGTTCTTTATGTGAACGAGCTTTTGAAAATATATTCCAAAATCTTAATGTCTCATCTCCAGCTCCTGTTACTATGGATTCTCCGTCTGGGGACATGGACAAATATAATACCCTGAATGTATGACCTGTGAGTTTAGCAATTTGACTCATCGAAGGATATTTCCAAACAACTATTTGATTTTGAGAATATCCATGTGTACTAACTAACTCTTGAGTATTCCTAGACCAAGCAAGATTGCACACTTGTGATCCAGTGTCAATACATTGCATTGGTTGTCCAGTTAATGTATTCCAAAAACGTATACATTTGTCAGCGGTACCTCCACCACTAGTCAATAAACCTCTTTGATGAGGTGACCAAGCAATTGCTTTCACTGCAGCAGTATGTTGATGATATGTCAATTGTGGAGTGTATGCATGTGTATTCCATACATATAATCTATTATCATTTCCTCCAGATGCTAGGTATCTATTATCTGGAGACCATTTTAGTCCACATACCTCTTGCCGATGACCAGCATATCTCCTACAGGTGGATAAACTTGGACCTCTCATATCTCTTAAAAATATGTTTCGATCTCGACTTCCTGATGATACAACATCGCCATTCCATGCAATAGCACCAACTCTGCCTGCATGTCCAGTTAAACTGTTGACTTGCTTTTCTGCAGCAATATCCCATACTTCTACAGATCCTTCTTGAGTACCAAAGGCTAAATAATTGCCTTTGTCATTCCAAGCAACTGAAGTAACAACATTACCATCAGATGACAAATCACTAATCCTTGTGACTTTACTTGTAGTTGCAGACCATAAATAAACACAACTTCCTAACCCGACAGCAAGTAAGTTTGAAGATGACCAATCAACTAAATTTAAATAAAAGTCGTCTTGCAGTTCAGGGGCATCAAGGACTTTGTAAGGTACTCTAGAAATTTTTCGAGGTATTTTACGTGGCGATCGTAAAATTTCCTGACTTTTAGAGCCAAGAGGAGATAAAGAATAAGGAACTCGTGATTGAATATTATCAACTTGTTCAGGACTGGAGGAATAGTATTGAAACAAATTTCGTTTGGTGGCTAAACGATCACGGTTTTTATCTTGAATACTTATTTCACCAACACTAGATCCAAGCAACTCATTGTGAAGAATGGCTTTGTATGCATTATCTTTATTAGCTGATTCACTTTGAAAATCTTTCTTACCATAATCTAAGCCATATCTAATGTCTGATATAATATTAAACCTTGCTGCAAGGTTATGTGCCTCTCGATAAGGTATAAACCGATCAGCTCGGAAACCATTAAATTGATCATAAGTTTGAACAGATGAACATGGTTGATCAGTTTTTAATTTCTTAAAAGATTTTAATTGATTTTGATCATCATCAACTTCCATTTCCTCAAGTCTTTTAAAACCCAATAATGTATTTTCTTTCTCTACAGATTGTGACTTGGATTCTGCTGCTACTTGCATTTGACGGTTTTTCAAAACAACATAGTCGGGACTCCTTGACAACTGCGCCCTCAGTCTCATTGCAAATGTCGGATCCATTCCTTCATCCATTTCTGTGTGTTTATATATGCCTAACAAATAAATTCCAATACCATATAAGTTCCCAAAAATGTAATAATAAGTCTTAAATAAATTATCTTATCAATATATATAGTTTTACATTTATGTTTATCAAAAAATAACAAAAAATTAATCATTTAAAAGCTAAATATCAAACAACTACTAAATATATTAATTGATTTTACTTCATTAATATTAAATTTAAACAGAAAATTATAGTATTATTGGTGGTATTTTGTACCTAATAAAAAAGTTTTTGTCTCACGATTGCCAAAATATTAAATGTTTAGATATAAAGTGAAAAGATTCTAAAAATATTTTTACACATTTGCTTATTATTTAATTTTTTTTAAATAATATATATAAGGTGTAAGTATAAGTAATATATTAGATATATATGTATGTGTATTGTAAAATACGGCACAATTAAACATATTTTTTATATGTAACTCATTATTTTAAAATATTTTACACTTTACTTAATGGTTCAATATTAATTCATTATAAATATAACCAGTTAAATTTTCTTTACATATTATAAAAGTAGTTAATATTTTGTTTTTGAGACATATCCCTATTTTTTTTTTATATTTTATTAATTATCAAAAATTCTTAGCTAAAAATATTAATTTAAAATAGCTACTATAGTCTTTTGCTATATTTACTTTTTTAATTAATTTATCATCATTACAAAAAAAGTAGGGAATAAAAAGTAGGTATAAAAAAATATATAAAAAATACCATATCTTTACATTAAATCCTTATTTTCAGATTATACAGCGATCTAACTTTTTAGTTTTATAATTAAGATAATTATCATATGTGTAAATAAAACATACACATAACAAATTTTTTAAATCTGATATATAACATATATATTGTAAAAATTAATGTTTTTATTAAAATTAAAATATTTTATTTATAATTATAATAACATGTTTTTATGAACTTATGTCATATAAAAATTTTAAGTTTGAGAAAAAAAATTAGAAATTTCATACTTGATATAAAATTTTGTATTAACTGTTAAGTCAAAAACACTTTGAATTTCTAAAATTTATAGTTAATACTTTTAGATATCACATAGTACCTATTATAATCAATTGAATAGATATATAAAATTTTAAAATTCCATTACTATCCTAAATAGTGATTAGATACTAAAAAAAAGTTCAATAGGAACATTTCTTGCTTTTTTAGAATCTAAAATATATAGAGGTTAATATGCTATTTAATTGGCTTTTAAAATTATAATTATAATTCAAAGAAATTATTATAATAATAAATATTATTTATTTATCTTTAAATTATTCATATCTTATTTCAGATTTTGTTTCTATATTATTAATATTATTTTTTAGTTTTCCTGACTTCTTATCATTCATTAATTTTTTATTATGAGAACATTTGGTTTTAAAATGGCATGAACAACAAAATAGTTTAATAGTATAATAAAACGTACAGGCGCATTTTCAAATAAATAATAATGTTAAAATTATGAAGTTCCAAGATAAGCAAAATTAAAATAATATTATGTTCAAATATAGGATATAATTATAGATTGTTAAAATAAAATTATATATAACTTAAATAATAAATTCCATTTGAGAATCAAATTTTTAAAAGTTGTTTGATTTTTAAATTAAAAGATAGTTTAAATTATATTTTAAATTACTACAGACATTATTATCTACTTATATATATTTACAACATATTGACATCAAGGCTATTAGCAAGATTTCAAAATCACTTATCTACAGATCATTAAATTTATTATAATATTATAGAAGGTTAATCAATCCCAATCAGTCTAAATAAATTACAAAATTAAAGTAGATTTAAATAGATTTTCAAAATTTAATTATGAATATGATTAATTATTGGTAGAATATAAAAATGAACTAAATATTATACAAAAACACTCAATAAATGAAAATCTTTTAAATGAGTTTTACTAAGTAAATTAAACTAATTTATACAATTATCTAATTTAATATTTGCCTAAAAGAATTTATACTAAGGTGATTAGAATAATCAATAATAAACAGTACCTATAAAATTTCAATTTAATATTCTGTAAACCTATTAATAATTAATTAACTACTAGTTCAAGATAACTGAAGTTACCTTATAAAAAATAACTTCTCAGTAAAATGATCTACTAATTATAATAATCCTCAATTGATATGTATTTATAGCCAATTAACTAAAGGTATACATGTAGTATTACCATTATATTTAATTTTAAAATAAATATTAACAAATATATAATTAAATTCCTAAATTAGGTATCCAAAAATTTAACACTTAAAAATTACTAAAATTTAATGTTGATTTTAGAAGATGGAAATAATTGATAACAAGTCATTAAAAATATAAATATTGAATACAATTTTATCAATATTTTTTTTTCCAGTACTTAAAAAACATTTAAAAATTACTAAAAACATGTGTATTAACATTTTTAATTAGGTACATATAGTCTCATTTAATTTTTTTCTTTAAGATTAAATAACTAATAGAAAGAAAAAAATAAAATTTAATTATAAAAAACAAGATATTTAATTTAAATTGAAAAAGAGATATTTACAATTGTATACTAATTATGTGAACATTTTTTTTATTGATCTAAAATAATAGATATTAAGTAGGTATTCATAATATTAGGTATATTATGAATATATGTTAACACATTTAATATAAATAAAAGTTACTTTTATCAAAGAACAAGTTTATTTTATAGGTAGCTATTAGTATTAAATAAATACTATACATGGGCTTATTCTAACTTCATTTAGTTCAAATATACAAAAGATAAACTATATATATAAAAAAAAAAATGTTTATTATAAAGGTGTACAAAGTTTTTTAAAATTATTAATGTAAAATAAAATAAAAACAATCAATGTATAAATATATTATTAAATTGCCTACACCTCAAATAATAATTTTATATTTTAAGTTAAAAAAAATAAATTATTTTGTATATTAGGATTATTATCTTATAGTAAATGTTTAAATATATTAGTGTACCTCTAAATAGCTTTTATATTTTAAGATAAAAAATAACTATTAAAATATTTGCAATGTTTAAATTAATTTAAAATTATTTAATGAGAATTTGATTTTTTGAATAATAATAACATTATTCAAAAACTGTATGAAACTAATTCAAAAGTTCTAATAGTAAAATGGCATTATATATTTATTATAGAATATTATTATATTGTAAGAAATATTTAGAATTGTATAATACATTATAATAAAAGGACAAAGAATCCATGATAATGTAACTGTGGGGATCCACAACTAATAATGGATTGCCAGACAGCAGGAGGTAAGTAAATTTGCAACTCACCAACAAAAAATTAGTTATTAGTTTACAATAGAAAGAATACCACTAAAGTACATTTTTTAATAATGCAAGATAAAATAAACAATTATGTTTAAATCTAAAAGCCTATACTAATAATATTTATAAATAAATTGGCTTTTATTTAGTTAAAATAAACTTTAAAAAGGGCTGTAAATACCTAAATGCCTATATTTTTTAGACAACTAGAAATGTAAGAATATTTAGTTAAACACATAGATAAGTTCATTCTTTAAATAAATAATTCTTTCCCTAAAGGCGAACAGACAAAATATATTTTACTGGTTTTATTATGAATTTTTTAAAATTAACTCAAATCACAATATCACAAAAAAAAATAAGATGTTTTACACCGATTATCCTCTAATAGCCTTTTGTCTAAATTGTTAAATCAACATATAAGTAGGTAAAAACCATGTATCTCAGATGGGTAACTATTAATATATTTATATATTGTAGTTATTAACTCGCAGAATAATTACTCACAGCTTTTGATGACGATTAAAGTTTTAATTCGGCTTCGAAGACAGTCGTCGATGCGTAGTTGTCAATTAGCAGTTAGTAGCAGTTGAAGTTTTGAGTTACTCACTGGAACATTTTTTTTCGTTTCCGTTTGATTGACGCGTACAATACGTAACGATTAATTTATTTATTTAGTAATACGTGGACTAACTACGTAGGTACTAGTAACGTATGATTTGCTTATGTTAGATAACGCATCAAACGGACTTTGACGGACAACGAGTTAAGTCTAGAGAATGGATCGACATACTAAATAGTAAATACTAATCGCAGAGATCGAAGATCGCAGAACGTATTAATTTAATACAATCGGACGGGCGACGATTAGTATATGCAGATAACGTTTAGCCACTCGCCGACCGAACAATAAAAATTCGTGTGCGGTAACGACGGTGACTAATAATACTGTGGTGTCGGTAACGGTAGTAGGAATCAAACATCCAACATTAACATTTAACAGGCGACGGCTCTCTGGCAATTGCAGTGTAGTACGTTATGAGTTATTATTTTATATTGTCACTGGAGTATACACTACCTACCAATTGATTTTCTGTTGACGTATTCCCATTTTGGCAACAGTGTGACCACATATTAGAATAAATGCATCGCTACCATGTTGGCGGGGTAGCGTCAGTACGAACGGTCTCTTGAAATACGACATGCCTACGCGCAACCAATCAAAACATTTCGTCGCGGTATTGCCGATCTGTTATCTTTAGCTCAAACGTCATTATCAAGCTCCATGTTATTTATTTTTTAATATATTATAAATTATAATATTATAGTACACAATATTAATAATAATAATATCATTGATTTTAAATTCTTATAACTTATATAATTTATAAATTCTAATCAATATTAATGTAATTTATTATTTAAATATATATTGGTGTTATTTTGAAAAGTTTCATCAAAATGTTTCCCTTTGAACTCAAAAATTCGTCTACCGATACATAAAAATATTAAAAATTTAAAAATCGTGTTTGCTGTTGTATTGTTATGGACTGTCAACTTAAGAAAAAAAATTGAACATCTTTTGTACCATTATAGTATCTATTTCAAGTTATATTAAAAAAAAATGTATTAAATGATTTAAATTTGTAATGGTTTGTACTTAATACTTATACAACTCTACGTTGTAGAGCAATAACGTTTGTTTCGATACACAGTATAAATTTACTTATGTACACTATGTAGTTAAATTACTGTTTTTGATTCAATAAATCATTATATTTATATATATATATATTTTTTTTTTTTTTTGTAGCTATCCCTTGAACTGGAACATAATATATCTTTAATCCGAAAGCAGAGAGAATATAATTATTTATAGATGAGTTGAAAAGTTAAGGTAGTTAAATAGGTAACTACAAATGTACAACATATTATATTGTTTAATATAGCCACTTGAATAATCTACATTAAATATTTAAAACTTACATTCAAAATTTTTATTGCTCTGTACCTACTTATGCAGTGTTTTGTTGTTGGATTTATTATTAAATAAGTCACTTAAATTGTTTAACAGATATCTCTACTTAAATAAAGACGAAATATGTGGGATGATTATATTATCAGAAACCATTATTCTATTTTTTTAATCCATAACGTTATTGAAAATATTTCTTTTATATAATTTCCCTACACAACGACTTAAAAATAAATAATGCCACCGAATTAACCAAAATAAAGTACAAACGTTTCCACTAACATTTAATACTAATATCACATATTATGTCCTCCGTCACTTTTCCAAAAAATCAGTCAACGGTTACGCAAATTAAAACGTAAATTGTGTAAAGATCTACAAAATTAGTTAAAGAGGTATTACCCATAGGTTTCTTCTTCAACGTGTTATTTATGTTATTGTTAATATCAAACTTGCCAATTGTAATAATTTGTAAAAAGATTAAAAATTATCTTTAAATAAATAAATTTAAAAAATAATAAGGCAGTATGGTATATCATTGAACCATTGATTATGGACTATGCCGACTATGGTATTTAATATTTATAATAAATATCAATGGTTCAACAATTTTATTCAACATACTTACTATAATCATAAATTAAAAATGCGTGGGAATTAGTATGTATATAATAAACAAGACTGCGCTAGGAGTTTTTTCGTAACGAGAGAAAGTGCTTACTGCTTAACTTACATGTTGTGTGTCCTATCTGAAGGGCACGTTAAACGATTTGATATGTGATAATTTCAGCGGTCAGTCGATCGATTCTATTCGTCTTTACTCTCTTATCACTAGTACAATTTTCATAAGCCCGTGATATTTTACGTAGTAAAAATCCTGAAGAAGCATGTAAGAAGTTAATACTGTATTACTGTGCTCTCTGCTTTATTCAATTGTAATCAGTATTCTTTCCCTTTTTTTGTAGAATTGGTTGAACTAACGCCGGTAAAATGGCTATTTGGAGTTCACTAAAATTGGGATCGGTGATCACCAAATTCACGAAGAAAACCGACGTATTAAAATCATCTGGTGAGAATTTAAGTTATTTAGTTAATCATTCTATTATAGGTATTTATTTAACAAAATATCTAATACTATTTTTTCTTTGACGTACTTAAGTTTAACGATTTTTGTAATATTTTTACTATAATTTATTATGATTAGATTTAAATTTTACATTCAAGAATAAGATCCCCTTGACACCACCCAATATCTTGTATTTAACTTACTTTTAATTTTACTCATTTTTTTTTTTTTAAGAATTTATTTTATTACCATTATTTTAAGTTTTTCTCTCTTAAAACTTTAATATTTTTACTACATATTCTAGAATTAAAATATTAAAATAATTATTTTGTATGCCATTTTAGCTCTTATACCGTCTCGTGACATGAGTGGTCATCATCTAATGAGTATTAAGGAAACTCGCTGGCAATGGACAAAGTTCAAAGATTTAATTCATTATTATGTTTTGGTTGGCGTTATTCCTTTAACATTACTTATCACTGGTGTTAATGTTTTTATTGGACCAGCTAAATTGGCTCCGATTCCTGAAGGTTATAGACCTGCACATTGGGAATACTATCGGGTTAGTTGATCATTTATATTTATAAATTGTATTATTAATTATAATTATACATATAGCCAAATAGGTAAATATATAAAACATAAAATTATTTAACCCATAACATATTTTAAATATTTATAATGCTTCAATCCTGTAGGAAACCTAAAAACCATTTTGTAATTTGTATGTGATCTTAGTAATTAGTACATGAAATTTCATGTATAGCCATTTGATGACTATATATAGTTATAATAATGCAGCTGGACACTGACTACCTTTATTGCGACACCATCAAGACAATAGAATTTTACTGCCGCTTATGCAGACCTCAATAAAATCTTATTTCAACAGGAAAATTAGGATCATAAATGCTTTCTCATGAAGTTTTTCTTTTAATTTATGACTATAGTTAATTTACCTATCAATTCTTACATTATTTAAAATAAATATAACTTATTTTAGTTTTATCATAATATATAATTAAAATCTGATTATTTAGCATCCAATCACTCGGTGGATGGCACGTTATATTTATCCCAGTCCACAACAGCAGTATGAAAAGTATCTACACACATTATATGAAGAAGATGAAAAATTTAAAGTCAGGTAAAAATTTTTAATAGTTTATTGGAATTCATTAAAATTCAAATAATAAAAAAATATATATACAGAGTAATTTTTATATATTTAAAAAAAAATATCTATATTTTTTAAAGTTTTTACTTTTTTCAAAAACAACATACATTTTTAACTTCATATTCTAAAACAGAATATTTTTTTAAATATTTTGATACATAAATTTAGGATGACTAATTTATGAGTTATGTATGCAAAATATTGGTGAGCAATAGAGTATGGGAATACCCTGCAAGATTTTGGCCTACTAAGCTCAACACAACTTCAAATATTTATAAAGTTATAACTGTTAAATTACTCATCCGAATTTTGATTTTTTGTGTCTGCTTCAGAATATAAAATAGTTTTTGAAATAATGAGTGGTTTATGATAAAAGAATTACCTTGTGTGTAAAAGGCATTAGTTTAAAAGTATATGATGTTAAACATAAAATTATAATAATTTTGATATATTAATAAAAAGTTAAAAATAGGTCTTTTGTCTTATAGATAATTTACTCATTAAAATTATTATGTCATTTAAAATTTTAAATACCACCTACTAATTAATTGCATTAATGTACAATTTTCTTATTTTTAATCTTATTAGAAAAATATTATTATCCTTTGTATAAAATAATGGTGATTGTATAATTTATCATTTTCAAAACTGGATAATTCAATCCTTTAAATTAATATGAAAGTATTTTTGAAATTTTTATTATTTATCATAAAACAATTTTTAATTTCTGCAATTGTATTGAGCAATCTTTTTAATCATTTTTTTAAGTATTAAATAATAGAAATAAACTTTTCTAATTGTATTTTTTTTTTATTATTTATATAATTTTTCAGAATGGTAGCCAACAAAATTAATGAAATGATGAAGGATAGATCAGACTATAAATCATTTTATTATAGACCTATCTCTGCTAACCATCACAGAATTAGCAAAGAAGCTATGGATCGTCAAGAATCTGAAGGTTTTAACTAATTATGTACATTCAAATAATTAAATTAGAAATAGTTGATTGTATAGTAGGTACTAAAGACATAATAAACATACATTTAATTATAAATTATACATAATAGGTTTTGAAAAATTCAGATAGAATATTATATTTTATATCACATTTTCAAAGATTAATAAAAATTGTCTAGCCTGTTTTGGTTCGACTAATGTACATTCTGTAATCAGTTCATATTATTACCTTTTGCCTATAAATTTTAACTGTGATCAATTTGATGAATCTATTGGTCTATAAAAGTTGTATAGTTATTTTTATTTGTGTGTCGTCACAAAGATAAATACCCTTAAAAGTTATCAATATTTATTTATTACAGTTATACGTCAACATTTTTGACTCAAAAATTAAAAATATTGTTAAATATGCGCTGAACAAATGAATAAAGCTTAAGTAAATAAAACAAGCAAATAGTAAAAGTAAAATTTATAACAAATAGTTATGAAGCGGAGATAAATTAATGAATGTTCTGTATAAAGTAAATACTTCTTTTATCTTCAACAATGAATATGGCTTCTACTTTCTACAGAATATATAATTTAGTTGAGATCAAAAGTAATAATTAATAAGTCTTAGTATTTTTCTTTTTTTTTAAGTAATAAGAAAAAAACAATAAATAACTATAAATTAATTGAAACTAAAGAGTGTGAAAAAATTAAAATTTGATTAGTTATTAGTTATTACCATGCTATATTTTATATTTCATAAAAAGGTATTTTGGTTTAAACTACTTATATCATAATACTGCTTTAAGTAATACTACTTCTATTACATTGTTTTAAATTATCGAGTTGAAAAACTATTTAATATTAATATCTATTAAATATTTTTTACTTATGGAAATACATTTTAAATATGCAAGACTTCATTCTATTCAAAAAACTATCCATTAGTTTAAGATCAACTAGAAATAGACATAGAAGACAATAGAATATTTGTAAATTACTTTCAACAGTATTAACTATAATTATTTTTCAGTAATCACAAAATTTTTATCAAATGTATCTTAATAAATCAGAAAAATAAAACAATAAATTGTTAATATATTATAATAATAATATATATGTAAGAACATTACAATTTATAAATTCCAAAAGAAAAAAAAAAAGTAATTAATTAGTTTTTTTATTTTGTCATTTATAATAATGGCTTATTTCAGCATAGTTTGCAGTACATAATAAGACAAAAATAAGCGGTATAAAAGTATTCTATAATTTGATTGAAAGTAGAAAAACAGAATATAACTATAGTACCAATAAGTTTTTTTAGGCAAGGTAACATACATTTTACTCTTCCATAAACTAGGGTAGGTTAAGGAAGAATTAAAAAGAATCATGTAAAGAGAACATACAACTGTTAAAAAAATAACCATTTTATATTATTCCTACAATATAAACCTATAGTTAGAGGTTTTGAATGATGATACAACTTAATCAAAATATACATTTAATAAACCGTAATATTTATAGTTTTGTATATAACATTTTGAATGCGAATGTCATCTTTAGAATTCATTTTGGAATATTTAACTTAAGTAAACCTCAAAATTTAGTATAACAAAATCACAGCTTAATGATAAAATGTATAATATTTTCAATAACTGTTATATCATACAAATATTAATCCTTTATTATTAAGACACATAGTTAATGTTATTTTTATTTCAAATTCAAATTTAATACATTAAAAAAATATTTACTAATTAAATTACCAATATTTGCACTTTAAATTCACATTATAATAACTCTAAAACTTATTATTTTTAAATAAAAATTACAAATAGTACATGGAACAAAATTTACAATTAAATCTAAATATTTAATCTATTAGCACGTCTTTTAATAATTAATGATGGTGGTTGTTCAGTGGTTTCTTTTTTTCTTGTACTTCTTTTTTCTCTAACTTTTATTTCATTATCTTGTTTTGTTGTAGATTTAATAATGTTTTCTTTTCCAATTTTCTTCTTAACAGTTGAATCATTTTTAATTTTTTCAGTCCCTTTTATCAGAGGTGATTTTATTTTATTTTGTCTTGAATTTGGACTTTCTAAAGTCAATTTTAATTTTCTGACAGCTGGAGTAACAAATCTAGGAACTCCTTGTGATTTTGTATTCACTCGTAGTTTACTAGTCATTGGCGTTTTTAATGCTTGTACGTGTGTTTCTACCACAGGTGAATGAATAACATTAGAGATTGCATAACTCATGATGTTATCAACTTTAAGTGAAATAATTAATTCATTCACATACATTGACAACCATTCATCATGGGAAGATTCTTTAGCCTTTTCAAGATAAACTAAAGACTTAGATGGATCATTGTAAAGAACTAGGTGTTCTGCATAATGATACTTGGCTAAAGTTTTTTGTCTAACTGTTAAGATGTTATATACTTCATTTTTATTAAATTTTGGTATAGACAATTCCAGTAATTTAAATGTACGTTTAAAATAATGTTCAGCTAATTTTTGCTGATTAGCTTTAGAACAGTAGACAGCTTTAAGAAGACATGCTTCAATAACAGAATGAATAATAATTGGATCTAAAGGTTCTTTGCTATTGATAGCTTCATCGCAATATTCAGTAATATTCATTTGTGTACGTTTATTGTTTAACCGTTTTAAGGAAGGTGATGCCATTTTATTTATTCTAGGGATTTGGGAGCACCTGTAATCTGACAGAGGAGAGGAATATTTATTTGGAGAATAATTTACAGTTAATTTTTGCATTTTAAAATTTAACTCTTCTTCTTTAAAATCTAGTAAAGTCATTATATGCTCCAACTGTCCATTAGCGTTTTCAAAATTACAACACATTAATTCATTCCAGCAATTCATTAAAAATACATTTAACGCTCTTTTAGTTAGAACAGATTTTAGAACAATATTCATTTGAACTTTCAAAAAACAGCGAGCTTCAACAGGTTTGAAACTATTTATATAAATTAAATTCAAATACGAACATATGCTTAATATTACAAAATGCATAGCTAAATATTCATAGAAATAATCGAGCCTTTTGATAAGACCATGTGCAAGATTATAAGCATCAATGAAAAAAGAAAGACACACATTTTTGTCGAAATTTCTAGATTCAAAGCACAAGCGGCTTTTAAGATAAGAATACTCTGCCATTAATATAATATTATTGTTCAATTCTTTATCATTGATACTCTCTAGCAGTACTTGTGCATCATTAAATTTTGATTGGTTTAAAAGAGAAGTTGCTAATGCCAATTTATAATCAATAGCCATTTTAGGCAAGTGTTTAGCTAAATTAGATAATTCTAAAACATCTACCTCGCTAATTTTTGATAATTCCATAAGTGCTATAAAAGTATGTTTGTGACATTTCTTATTAGAAGCTAATTTGTATAATAGTTTCCATACTTCAACTTCTTTTGAGTCACCATGCAGTTTAAATATAAAAGCAACTTCTTGAAGACTTCTAAAAAGTAATTTGACATCGTGTTCATCTTTAATTGTATCATTAGTTAAAGCAGACCAATTCTTAACAGCCCAATTCAAACAGTTAAAAAGTTTAGGTTTTATTTTTAATGGTAATATCCAAGAAATAGGTTCATATTGAATAATATTTTGTTGCTCCATACCACGTTCTAACCTCTCTTCAGTATACGAATCCAATTCTTTGCTGACAAGGTTCTGTAGATGTTTTAATAAGCACAAGTAATTTGCATAATATAAATTACCTAACATTAATGGCATACTTTTTTTCTCCATAGATGTTTCAACTTCCAATTTACGAATGTAGTCCTCTAATACATCAATTACTCTTTTTAAACCATTTATACTACTTGAATGTAGTATTATGTATGCAGTGGTAATTATGACACGACACTTAAACTCTCTAGATAGTTTATGACACATTAATTCTTCAAATAATTCTAATACAGCAGTAGTATCTTGTTTAATTTTATTTTGATGATTATGAGCCTTTAATTCTAACCACATTATTTCAGTGCAATCAGATTTTGTCAAACTGTAATCGGGCCATTTTTTTTTCAGATTAATATCATTTTCAAATGTTTTTAAAATTGTATCTTTAATAATAACATTATTTCTCTCCTCCTTACATTTAAGATAAACCCATTGTTGGGCAGCAAGTTCAGAATGAGTACGCACACACCAATATGCAATACACTTTAAAGCTTCGTCATTTTTATTTTTATTGTACAAACACCGACTCAGAAGAATTGCAACACGAGCAACAAGTTCTGAATCAATTCCAGAAGGATCAAGTATTAAGTATAAATGTTCAAGAAAATCCAACCATAAATCTGTGAACTTGCCAGATGTTGTACAAATACAAAGGTTATAAGCACTTGTTAATGAAAATTCAATGAAAGCAATTTTATTTGAACAGTTTGATTTATTTACTCTTTCAAACAAAGAGGTGAACAATTCAATCCACTTTAAAACATCTTCGGAATTTAAAAATGTGTGATTAGTACTAATTATGTGTCTCATCATAATAAACACTATGTTAATTAAACTCATTTCTGATGTTGAATCTTCATTGAGATCGCAATTCTTGCTTTTACAACATATCTGACTAATTGAACTGTGTTTGCTTATATAAACTAAACGGTGTAATAATACAAGCATTTGTGAAATTGTTTCAGAAGAATTAATAATCAATCCTTCATACCAAAAGTTTTTTAATTTTGTAATTGTAACAATGGCAGCCTTGAACACATGATATAACATTGTGTTTGGTAATATCATTGTTGGTTCATAACTTTCAACAAATGTTATCATTTTCCTAAGTTCAAAATTGGAATCAAGACCATTTTTAATAGAGTTGTCAATAAACTTGAATAATGAAATCAAAAATGACAATGATTCTTTTTCAATTTTATTCAAACAACAAACATCAATCATTAATTTGATATGTTTGATTAAATGATGAATATTCATCTGTCTGTGACGCATCATATTTTGCATTACAGCTACAATGTTTTCAATTAACATAAAGTATAAATTCATCATACTTTCTTGATCATTTTTTTTCCGAATACCACTAGAAGATAACACTGATTCTAAAGTCATATCTAAGATAACTACATCCATAGTACACCCTTCATGTAATATTAATCCATTCATATTTTTCACAAGTGTTAATAATGAAGATAATGCATACTCAATTTCTTTTCCGGTATGACGCTTAACTAAGTTTAACACAGCATCCCACATAAGTATAACATTTAACTTTTTCAAATCATCATCAATAGGACATGTCTTATGAATATGATGTGCAAATAACTGAACTAAATATTTCAATATTTCACATGGTGGAGATAAATTATTTAAAAGATAATTACCAAAATGGACAGCTTCGGCCACATGATTATTCATAAGTAAATACTTGACAATAACATATAAACTATTTTGTAATGGTTGTAATTGAGATAGATTGATTGTTTTGAAGCAACGATCAGCAAACTGAATGACATCATTTGTATTTTTTCCAAATTGCTTAATTTCATTGGTAAAATTAAACTCAGATTGAAGTTTTTGTGCCAAAACACTTACAATGCCAACTGTACAATTTTGAAATCCTTTAATGTCTTTGATATTATTGTAATGAATATTAAAGGTGTCAAGAGCTTCTTTCAAATTATCTTGGTTAATATCATTTTGTATTAGAAGAAAAATTTTCTTTAATTCACCCATTATCTAAAAAAAAAAAAAAATATTAAACATAAATTAGTATAAAACTTAATATTACTTAAACAATATTAAATGTTTGTCTTCAAACCAAAAATTAATTAAGTATAATTACATCAATTAGAAAATATTTAAAAAATGTGTAGAAGTCAAGTAAATATAAATTAGATACAATATTGATTATCTTTTATTATTACCATAACAGTGCATAATTACAAAATATTTTATAAATAGTAAATTACCTAATAATTAACAGCTAATTTTATTGATGATATTAAACTTATTGAAGGTAAATCTGATAAAAATATTTATTTTTTTCATGTATCATTAAGGGAATACATACTGGTAGTAAAATGGTATATTTAAAAAGATGAATGCTTATATATATAATGTTTATGAAAAAAATAAAAATAAAAACTTACAAAATAACTTTGGTGACAACCAGATAAGGCAGTAAGTACTGACTACCGATTAGCAATAACCATCCTATTCACCATTCGACGTTTTTATTTAAATTAAATCAACTCACTACTCAGTAATACACTAATACGATTAAACTCGGTTTTTAAATAACGGCCATTTATTACGACTCACTTTAACAATAAACTGATAACTACAACTAGTTTTGATAACAATGCAAGAATTCAAATTACTTTCCAAAGAAATACATAGCGTAACGGTTATAGATAAGAATGTACGACAAAATTAAAAAGAAAAGACTTATGGTGTTGTAGAATGTAGTTTTAGAATGTAGACTGTAGTAATGTAGTATGACATGTGTCAGATTCTATGAAAATTGAAAAGTAAATAATATATTTTATATTTTATAAATTCTTAATAATAGTAAATTATTCATTATGTGTACCTATTAAAATAAATTACTTTAATAGCAATAGAAATATATCATAATTCATAAAATTCACTTAGTAATAATTATTAATTAAAAAAACCATCGGTAATATCATTAATCAATTGTATTTAATCCATTCTGTAGTAATATAGGCTGGAGTACACGAACCAAATTGGGTTACCTAACTTAGTTCGTGCTGGGAGAGACAATTACTACTCAGATTTATTATTCATATAATGATAACCATCAAAATAAACGCATAAAATGACCAGAAAAAAACACAACATTTCCACAAAGTATTTTCATTATCACTTTCCTATATAGAAATTTCCAAAATATTTAAAAAAAACTGTATGTGTTTTTTCTATAAATGTTGATAAACAGTTTACGAATAAGAAAAATGACTGAAAATTTAATAAATAGTTTCAATTAAGTAGTTCATTTCCAATTAAAAAATATGAAATATTTATAGTCAGAATTTTTTTTTTATAAACATTTAAATTTTGATTTTTGACCAAGTCTTGAATATTACTATTTATTTTATAGCTGGAAATTCATAAAAATGTCTGTTAAAAACTAAAGTTTGAAAATATTTTAAAAGTTAAGTATTCTATCCAGCCTAATATCACCTTTAATTGTATTTACGTTAAATAGACATTATATTATTAACGCAATAAAAAATGACTTACTACAACAGTATACATTATACCACCTTCTAAAATTTCTTAATTGTTTGATAAAATATCAATTCACAGTTTTCACAAGTTAATAGTTATGTAAAAAGAAATAGATTATTTAACATTAAATTAAAGACTATTCAAAAATTGAAATTATTAGACACAGTTAAAAAAATTCACTGTTACTAAATATTCAAATTAATTAACTACAAAATTTCAATCGTCATTATACTTTATCGTTGTATCTTGTATAAGTATATATTACATCATTCACCTTTTCTGATTTCTGCTAAAAAATTAATTTAGTTTATACTTTGTAAAACTATGAATAAAATACTTTTTTGAATATTTCGGAGACAAAAACAAATTAGAGATCTAATTGTACTTTTGAGAATAAAATATTTTCGAAATAATTGGAAAAATAAAACGCCCAAAAATTGATGAAAAACGGTAGGTATTTTTACACAAAATTATAGATTTTGACAATGTTTTTGTGGTATTAGTGGAACCTAAATATTATAAAATATTCTTAGAAATATTAAAATTATTATATGCAGTAGACAAATCATTAATAATTAAAATTTTTTTTTGAAAATAATGATTGATCATTAAATTAAAATTTGACACATTCATGTACTGATCTACTTACCAACCTAAAATATAACAGAACAAATTCCTCAACGGCTTGATCTATTAGTTTTATTAATTACATGAAAATGATCTTAAGTTTGTTTTATCCAGATTGTACTTTTTTAAAAGACAAGAATTAATATTTAAAATTTGGTTGTTAAACTTCCAATTCAATATAATCGATTTACCGTTATGTATTATGGCCATTGGAGACGAAGTTAGGTGTGATTATTGAACTTTTATTTGATCCTATCTGTTGACTGTTACATATTAACATGAAATATATGTTAAAGATAAATACTACCGAGACTAATCCGTGAGGAGTACTCACCTATCATCAAGTTATAAACAGTACTTGAATTGAAAGGAATAATGTCTTTTCTTCTTTTTTTAAAAATATTTAAACATACTTCTTTTCATTATATTCTGATAAAAAAAACATTGAAAACTTCAGGTACATAAATGTTGTGTACACTTTTGTATCGCATATTCAATATTTTCCAATTACATGCTAAAAGATTATAAAGCATGAACAAAAAAAAAGTGCTTCACATTGTTGGAAGCTAATTAGTATTTCATTATTCAGTTGAAAAAAGAATTTGAATTGAATAATTGAAGTTTTTTTGATAATTAAAAATGTTCATTATGTAGCTATTTATATATTTCATCATCATTCATAAGAACATTATATCATATATACCATTTATATTTTATAACTTACTAAACTTTTATATTTCTTTTAAATTATAAGTATATCTCATAGTTAGTTGTTAAAGCTGGCAGAATTTGTTGAGACCATGATAGTAGAGAGAGTAATGCTAATAAGAACTGTCGTAGCTGTCGTTTTTGTTGTATAGACAGTATCTATCTCTATTTTTTTTTTTTTTTTTTTTAACAGATTGTACAGAAATTTTTTTTTTTTATTTTTATTAGCTATTAGTATACAACTATGATAGCTCGACATTTACAGCTGTAATACATAAAACAACATTATACATTAAACATTATTATACATATTAAATAATGAAGCCAGCATCCAAAATAAAAGAGATAATTAATTATTGTACAGAAATAAATGGCTAATCAGTTAATGATCAATAAACAAATAACAGTTTATAGGCTATCTTTAAGGTATTAGTTTTTATCACTTTAATACCATAAGACAAACTGGATTTGAAAAATTAATTTAAAACTTAGATAAATAATTATTACCTCAAAGTTAAACATAATTTTAACTTTGATATTTTAAGTTTCTGTTACTGGATGGTCTCCTTATTATGCAACTCACAAATGTTGTTTTATTTTCTCATCTGCTATTTAATGTTTATATGAAACAGATAGTAAATATATTTTAACATAAAAGAACTTTAATTAAGAACGTCAATAAGTTGTTTATTAAAAATATGTAAAATACTTAATAATAATGTTTTATATTAAATCATCTTCACATCGAATAAATTCACCAATATCAGCTTGATTAAAACAAACTACTGATAGTGGATCTGTGTGCTTACATTCAGTAGTATTTTTTGCTGCGACGCCAAAACCCTAAAATAAAAAAAATAAATATTTGAATTTAATTTATTATATTTAACAAAATAAATAACAAATAACATGGGTATTTCATCCACTTAATTCAAATAAAATATGAAAAATATCTTATTTTCGAAGAACTTGAATAATTTTAAAATATTTCAAATGAAATTTCTTCTTAATACTATGATATAATAGGTACAACAGTTTAGCTATATATTATTATCGATAAATTAACAATTCATTAGTGATTACATTAGGATTTTTGGATTTGTTTTAAATGTTCATACAATTTTAAAAATATGTAGTTATGGCAATGTTCTCAATTTTAGATACTCATTAGATATTTATTTTATGTCTGTTAAAAGGAGCATTATACCAACATGTATTGTCTTTATTCTATGAATGTATAACATAGAATATTTTAACATTCAGAAGAATCCATTTTAGTTTGTTATGTTTAATTTTTTTAGGGCAATTCAGAGTTTTTTTAGAATTATTAACTTAACAGTTAATTACAAGCATTTTAAAATAGTAAATTTTTTATAATACTTAACTTTAAATTTTATAAATTTTTTGTCCAACTATTTTTTTAAAAATGATAACATATTCTATAAATAAAAAAAAAATATTAAATTTTATTAAAATTTGTATGAGATCCATTTTTTATCCACCTGTATTGATGAAAATTACCTGAACAGACTCCCAGAGTCTCAAGGAATATAAATACACTCATAGTTATTGTTATTCAAAGTCTGTATGTCTCATTTGAAAGTAGTTATAATTAGAAAATGTAGTTTAACGTTTTGTTTGAAGATAAAAAAAGTAAATAAATCATTTAATCATAACTCAATTTGTTTAAAATCACAATGATAATGGTTTAAAGATTACCTCAATAATGAAAAAATATACAAATATAATATAGATTACAATTATAATTACCAAAGGAACATCACTCATTGAGAATACTATAACTCCTTGATATTGAGTAGTACTTTCTGTAATTCGCCCAAGACCAGACTTTAAAACATTATGACCGTAAAGAAACTGTTGTTCAGCTGCAGGTTTTATCCACATTTTGTGCTAAAAGCATAATTCAGTATAATAAAAGCAATCCATATAATTTCACTAAGTAAATAAATAAACAAATAAATATTTTACCTGAGCATATGGAGCTAAATAATCTAAAGATGTTATATGTATTCTGAATTTTCCAGACTTAGTAAATTTTCCAAAACATGTTCCTATACTAATTATGTTATCAGGATTCATCATGGATCCCATATTCAATACTTTTTCAGATACATAATAAACTCGATCTTTCTTTTCTCGAAAACAATATTTTCCATCTGAACGATCAATTAATAATTTAATATTTGAGCCAATGCTAAATTCAAAAAAAAAAAGTGCATACACAAAGTTTTATAATAATTTTTGAACTTATTTATGTTTAAGTAAATCATTCTAAAACTTGATATTTTATTTAAAAATGTATTCAAAGTAATAGGTATTAAGTACAATAAACTTAATTAAAACATATAAACAAATCAATTAACTTACTATTTAGACAATTTTTCGAAAAATACTTTCATTCGGTCATCTGTTAACTGTTTCATTGTAAATTTGATTTATAAATATTTTCAACTATTAACACTAGTAATTAATAACTAAACTACAAATCAAATCATAACTAAATAAATACGAATATCAATACAAGTAAATTATTTAACGTTTAAACGCAAATAAATAAAAATTTGAATTGTATATAACAGTCTGTATTGACATGAATGGCACAATTAAAAATTTTAAAAATAAATTTTAATTCATGATGTATGCCCCTGTGTATTGTGATTATTGTACTAAGTGTACTGTGTTCTACTGTTATCAGTGTTATCACGAATTATCGAATTTACCGCGTGTAAGTTGCACATGTATTAATATAACCCCAGAATATTCTGTGATATATTTTCATGAAATCCCGAACCGTAGATGTCAGTGACATCACTGACATCTATAGAATAAATTTAATCAAGCTGTAAGAATAAATGATAAATTCTGGTAATTGCCATGGACTAAAAAATGATTGATTTTATTTTTATTTATTATAAAAGTAAATATTTCAAATTATTTTGATTAAAATTCATTATTTGAATAGAAGGTATTCATATGTCGTAGAAATGTAGAATATACAAAATAAAATACAAGTCCACAACGGCTTGCAAATTTGCAATTTTTGATTATTTATTGTAATTGATATATTTTAGTGAACTTAAAATTTTAAATCATAGTTTGAAATGTTTGAATTTAAAACTGCAGTCATTTATCATTATCATTGGTATTTGGTATGTACTATGTTGGACAAAGAGCTATTCCTTATTTAAGTTGGTAGTGTTTTATAACTTTTACTACTGTTTGGCAACACTGGTATAATTGTACATGGTTTGCATACATGGTTCTACTTATTTTTTTACAAATCCTAACTCCAAAATCTCTCTACTCTATGTCTATAGCATCTTAGTTTAGACACTTCGTTTTCCACTTTTTTGCCAGCAGCCAGTTCACGTTTCGTGTCCAACAGACTTAAGTAAGTATGTTTTTTTTAATAATCTAAGTGTTTTATTTACTTTGATTTTTTCTATCGTATTAACGTATTATTTTCTTTCCGTCCCACTTTCACGCTCCTAAAATCGTCGATGCGACAAACTCGAATACCACGTGTGAAGGATCACTTAATTTTGTTTGACAGAATACATAAATCTGATTTTGAACTCTAAAAGCTTATAAATATTATTTTAGCTCAAGTTTAATCTATTCACAAACGTTCAATATGAATGTTAATTTAATAATAATATGTACCACCTTGATGGCTCGATAACGTAGAATGTAATATTTGGCTGTTAGTCTTGTAAGTTAGTGGTTATTTTATTATTTTTCGTTTGCATCGCACTGTGCATTTTGACGGGTTCAATTAAAACACGTTATTGTGAAACCAATCATTTGCGTGTCCTGCTTCTATTTCTAGTTGTATAGTGTGGTAACTTCTTTCGCAATGTTATTTTTTTTTACAAATAATTTATTAATATCTTTAATTAATAAATAACTCTAAATTCAATGTAATTTTGTTAATCTCAACCTATTAAATTATAACATCAAATTTATATAAATGTTAAGATGCTATCTTGCATAGTTAATAACTTAAGATGTCTGTGATGATATAATATCACCATCTTTCGGCTGAAAGTTTATGATGATAACATTTTTTTATTCTGATGACATTACTCTTAAAAAGAACAATAATTTAGGAAGATAATTGATTATGTAATTATAAGGTACTAAAAATAATAATGTTTTTTTTTAATGCTATTAAGTGATGAGATTATATTTATTTACCATCTTTCGGGTCTGAATTCTGATGTTAACTTTATCCCTGATAATAGTATTTTAATATGCCTAAAACTTATTACAATTATTTTATACCATCTTTTGGGTTTGAAACTAGATGCTAATGTGTTTTCTGAGATTTATTGATATGTAGACCGATTTTTAGCTAAATCATATTGTGTAATGACGAATTGTAAATATTTTTATGATGATTCACAATACTTTATTACCATCTTTCGGGTCTGAAACCTGATGCTAATGTGTTTACTGAAATTTATTGGTATATAGACCGATTATAGTTAAATCACATTGTCAAATGACAAGATTATAAATATTTTTATGATGATTCACATTAATTTATTACCATCTTTCGGGTCTGAAACCTGATGCTAATGTGTCAACTGATTCATGTGTTTAAAAAATTTTTCAAAATGATTTAATTTTAAGTCTACATTTCTGTTAATTTATTTTCAATATTCTTATTCAAATTCAATATGCATGAATTGAATAATAGTTAACTATTTTTTGTATAATAATGTTTACCTATACCTTATTTATTAAGTAATTTTAAGGGTTATAAATATTTTGTACATATCCTTTTTATAATGAAATAATAGAATATTTGGCAGATTTCTCTGATTGACTATTTCAATATAAATATCACTGATCAGAAATTGGTAACTTACTGCAACAGTATATTTAACGGATGTCCGGGGACATTGCTTTATAGCAACAAGCCTTCAAGCCCATCTGTACATTACAATTCATTTTATATTCTAATAAATATAACTAACATCTCACAATACTAAATTATACATTGATTTTTACTTATGATGAATAATTCCAATACCATCTTTCGGCTGATATAAATTGATGAATTTTATTTTCTGAAACTATAAATCATAAGTGTTGAACTACCTATTTCCACTTAATTAAGTATTGGTGTTAAAAATAATTTTCATGTTTGGCAGATTGATCTGATTGAATATTTCAGTATAAATATCTGATCAGAAATTGGTAACTTACTGCAACAGTACATTAAACGGATGTCCGGGGACATTGCTTTATAGCAACAAGCCTTCAAGCCCATCTGTACATTACATTTTATTTTGTATTTTAATAAATATGAAAAACATCTCATAATACCAAATTATGGATTGATTTTTACTTATGATGAATAATTTTAATACCATCTTTCGGCTGATACAAATTGATGAATTATATTTTCTGAAACTACTTTAAATTATAAGTATTTTAATATCTATTTCCACTTAGATTAAATATTGGTATTTAAACTAATTTTCATGTTAAATATTGTCATTCTTCATGTTTGGCAGATTGATCTGATTGAATATTTCAATATAAATATTTCTGATCAGAAATTGGTAACTTACTGCAACAGTATATAAAACGGATGTCCGGGGACATTGCTTTATAGCAACAAGCCTTCAAGCCCATCTGTACACTAAACATATTTATAATTTATCTTATTTAATATTAAAAAATATATATTTATTTAATAAGAGTCTTATATGACTTGAATATAAAACTGGTCAGTTATTGCTTATGATGAATAATTTCAATACCATCTTTCGACTGATCTTATATTGAAGATCAATATTATCTGAATGCAAATAAATTATTCTTTGATACTTTTAAATATTATAATATTGACATTTCTATTGGCTAATTTTAATTCTAATTAAATTATAGAATGCGTTACGTGGCTGCCTACCTGTTAGCTTCCCTCAGTGGAAAAGAACCATCCAATGATGAAATTGAAAAGATCCTAAGTTCTGTCGGTATTGAATCTGACACAGCTAAAGCTAGTCTAGTTCTCAAAGAACTGAAGGGCAAAAACGTCGATGAAGTTATCGAGAGTGGTAAATATATTATTCATATGTTAATAATAAAATAAAAATGTATTGAAAACAAATCTATTATTAGTATGCATTTTGTTATACTAAATTTGAATTATTTTTTTGTGGAATGTTTTTTAACTAATTTTAAATTATAATTAGATATTTTACTTACAGTGTTTAATAATTTGCTTTATTGTATATAGGCAGGTCTAAATTGGCAAGTGTACCAACTGGTGCTGCCGTAGCCACATCTGCTGGAGCTGGAGGAGCAGCACCAGCAGCTTCTGAGGAAAAAGGTAAGATTATTTTTTTATTAGTTGTTTTATCATATAGTTTTTCACTTAATTTTATTTTTGCTGACAAGAAAGAAGAAAAGAAAGAAGAATCCGACAATGAATCTGATGATGATATGGGCTTTGGACTGTTCAACTAAGATCAAGATGTAAATATTAAACCTATATTGCATTTTAATGCCTAGTATGTAAATTAAAGTAATGCAGGCTCCAGCGGGTTATTGTTTTATAACATGAACCTTCCTAAGGGTGTGCTAAAGAAAATATACATTTGATTTGAGATAGCTTATTTAAATATATATATTAGCTGTATTAGGCAAATGTGTACATTCATTAAACTATAAAATAATAAACTTTTATAAATACTCTCAATTACGTAATTATCTTGTTTTTGGTAGGTATCAGATTTGCTTATTTCTGATATATTAGTGTTGTCTTAAAATTAATTTATAAGGTTCTGACAATAGATTTTATCATGCATTTAAATTCCAATGCTTTTCTAAAAGTAAAATATTAAAATTTAATGAAAAGTGCAAACTCCAGCAGGTTATTGTAGTATTATTAACATAAACCTTCCTAAGGGTGTGCAAAAGAAATTATCATTTGATTTGAGATTGTCTTTATACACATATATTGTCAATGTTAGGCAAATGTGAACATCTATATTAGATTTCATATAATTTATGACATGATATTATAATATACTTTTGTCAATAAGGTATTACATTTATTAAGTATAATTATTTGTATTAAGCAGTGAAGTAAATACATACATATTTTATATTAATATTGAAATTTTTTTCAGATTCTCCTGGCTGTTTTTTGTATTTCAGAAACTGATGGTTAAATAAAACAGTTTGTTTTAATTGTTTAGTTCAATTTTTTTATACCACTAGTTAATATTTAGTCTTAAAAATCTTTTTATCTTTTCCTATTTATCCTGTGTAAGTGATTCCATTCAACTGGTTATAATTTTGTAATAAGTTATGTGAACAGACTAGAATTCATAAAATAATGAGCTCCACTTATATATTATAATTAATATTATTTAAAGTTATTTTATAATGCCTATACAAATAACTCATCAATTAAAAAAAAAAAAACAAATGTTTTTCATTTAATTGTTATTTGTTAGTGAATGATATTAACTCGGATTATCATAAATTGTTAATATTAACTAAAAATTAACAAATACTAAATGAAGTTGATATTTTATGTACGACATAAATTATACACTTGTGATATGCGTACTATTGAGATTATAATATGTTCATAAAAAATGAATAATATTTGTAATTTAAAACGAAAAAATTCAGTTACTGCATATTGTAGTATAGAGTAAATATGTTTGTTCTAGTACATGCTGTAATTTTTAATTATCTTATTGATTAGAATTTACTCATCAGATAATTAGATCATTTCTGTAAGCCAAAGGTACAATTAAAGACTGTTATTGCCGTCTCGTGATGTATCTGTAGACGTTTTATGTTGTATAGATTTTTCTTACGAAATTGAATGCACGTTGGTTCGTGTTGCCTATATTCAACTCCTTTAAAAACCAAACCATTACAATGACTAATTTGTTTTCACTATTTTTTTTTATTTTAATCCTTTTTGTGTTATTGAATATGATAAACCACATCCGACTTACACGCAGTTTTCCAAAACCTTTAAACAAATATTAAAATCTACAGACTCACCCATTCTAAATCAGTAAGAGATTTGATTTGTCTTCCACGAGGGATATTATCTTTTTAGTCATAAAGTTGTACTTTTAATTCTTTACCCATTTGGGCTAATAACTAGGAAAAGCATGATTCAGTAGTAAAATCTGAGTGCTTTTCGGATTTGCAATCTACCAAAATTCTTTTGTTCAGATGTACAGTCTACATATTATTTTTCAGTATTACAATTTAAACAAATATTTAACATAATAATGTAAAAACCTTAACGATAAACTGCTTAATGTCCTTTAAAATGCTATAAATAAATCAAGACATCGGGTCATTTTTTACTAGCAACTTTCCAACTATAATGGTCGAGATGCGTTTTCATGGTTGTGCCTCATCAATTTCATAATTTTTGTCAAGTCCTCTTGGAGAAAAAAAACTTATTTCCTTGTTGTACACAAGATCTGACACCTTTTTTGCACCTTATAACAGGATAAAAATCATCCCGGCGATCGCGTTTTCTAGCGTTTACTATTTCACTACCTCACTTATGGCATTGTAATGTTTCTGTAGCAGTACCTATATATAACAAGTATAGGTGAAAAATATTAAACTATCGTGTACAACAAATTATATTCGGGACAATTTTATCTTTTATTGTTATTATTATTTTTTTTTTTTTATTGTTTGGATATGTGGTATATATATTAACATACCTATAACCTATATGATTGTAGAAGCGAATCCGAGCAATGCCAAAATGTGTAAGTAAAAATGTAGGTTAAATAGTTACATTAAAATTACAAAAAAAAACGTGTATTTCTTTTATTCATCGATGCAAATCAATTAATTATATATTTATGAACTTCTATACAAATTTGTAAAAGAAATAATTATTTGTAGGTAACATATGAAGTGTAGATTCTAAGGGGACGTGCTCCACTAAACGCCGCATCTAAAGTATGAAATGGTTTTGATATCTATTAATATATAAGGAATAACATGTTTTTTAAATAATTTATGTTACTTAAATTTAGTTAGTTTAATTAAATAACCCACATAAAAGTGCTCTAACACATACAATTGAATGTTTAGGGAGACAAGTAAAGTAAAATAAAGTATACATACAATCACTTGAAGAAACAAACCTACTCCAAAGGAAATTAGGGGAAGCATTAAAACGTTCATTTCATCCGACTGATGTGTTAAGAAATTTTTTCGGAGACGTAAGAGATACATTTGTAATTTAAGATTATAATTTCTATTACAATTGTAAAACTAAAAGCTCCAATAAAATATTTAGGTAACTTTAGGATACATTTTCTTTTTTGTATAGATAGCATACGAATATATTACACGTGTACCGAAATTTATCACATTTGGTTTATTTCAATTTCAAATACGTTTCTCTAATATCTTTTCTTTCCTATAATAGACTTGATGAATTACATAAATTTTTTTCATCATAATATAAAATAAAATTGTAAAATTTGGACGTTTAGTCCGTGTCCCATGATAACCGGTAAAACCTAATGATTACTGAGAATTTTCAAAGATACTAATCTAAATCTATAGTTAGTGTAATAAATTTTTCCATTTCCAACGGTTAGTATTGTTGAGACGGTGAGTTGTTGGTATTTAGTGTTTACTGATTCTGCTATTTTAAGGTGAAATTGATAACAACTTATGCCGTAAGCTGTTGCTTATTTTAATTTTCAGACAAGTTATACATTACTTGGTACAAATTGTACAATCGTCAATCACCAATATCAGATTCAGTAATATCTAAATAATTATTATTTTCTACGATACTATTTATTATTTAATAGTACCCTGTAAAGTCAATTGTGTACCTATTAAACCTATTAATTGTCTAAAACATTTTCGTTTCTATTTATTATCAATCTACTTATACTGTTAGTCCGTGAAACAATTGTTTTCATCGTCATCATTTTCAATCTCCAAGTTAAATAAGGTATGTACCTAAAATTTTTTAATTTATCATCAATTATTATAGTGAATAATAAATTATTAAACGAAGATCACTATAATTGCTAATAATTATTTGTAATTTATTATAAGAGCAATACCTTTAAGAAGCTACAACAATTAAATAATTGACATATTTTAATCTTATACAATTAGCACCTATTATAGTTTTTATTAATATATCAATCGCATAGATAATGTATTGTGACATTGTGTTATGTAACTAATATTATGCATTAAATTTGTTAAAAAATTAAAAAAACACTTCTAATGAATAGGGATGTAAAATATTTCATTAATATTTATACTTTATTTTATTTTGGAAATTTACCTTTATTTTACATCATACTAGTATCATGATATAAAATTGAGTAACTATTTAACAAAACTAATTTTTAATCTAGTATAAAAAATATACTTATTAGGTACTGTCGGTTTGGTTCAACCATCTACTCAGTAAATATCAGCAACTGTATGATTTTTCATTTACATAAAGGAATTTAAATCAATTTATTCTATTACAATGCTTGTCGTTTTTTTAAGGACCATAAACCAGACTGACACTATAAAAATATAATACATTATATTAATTTTAGTAATATAATGTTACAGAAGAAAAACTAAAAAAAAAAAATATTTGAAATTCATATCCATGGAACTCAAATCAGAAATTGTCAGAAAAAAAATTATTGAAGAAGTTGATATATTTTTATTTGATATGCCTGAAGATTATTCTTTAGGACATTGTGTGGCCAAAGATATGCGTATGAGTGCTGGTATCGCCATACATTTCAAGTTATTGAATAATAATTTTAATGATAAAATAATATCATCTGTGATAAATATTTTTAATTTATATATTTATTTAATATGATTTAGGAAGATTTTTGGAAGAGTTGGTGAACTGATGGATCAAAGACCTGATGTTGGTTCAGTAGCATATTTACAACAAAATGATCGATTTATTTACTATTTAATTACAAAGGAATATAGCTATAATAAACCAACATATAGAAGTATAACTGCAGCCATTACAAAATTACGTGACTTTATTGTAAAACATGGTATCAAAAAATTAGCCATACCACGTATTGGTTGTGGTTTAGACAAATTAGACTGGTCAATAGTAAGAGGCATTATTGAAAATGTATTTCAAAACGCAGGGTGTGCTATCAAAGTTTGTCATTTTACACGTGTAATTTTTTATAATTCAGTTTTTTTAATGATATGCAATTGTATGAAATCGTTTCTCATATTTTAATTTTTTACAGAACATGTCAAAAGAATCAGAATCACTCCGGATTGAACATCCAAGTACTATAAAAGTTCATCAAAATATCAAAGATATAGAAAAACGTGAATTTGAAAAACTGAATATTATTTTATATTCTCGGACAACTACTTTACCAGTATATTGGGATCAACATTTTCAATCTGTCAATGAAAAATACTGCTTTAAGTCACAATACTATAAAGACTATCAGGTGGATCTTGAAGTTGGCCAGTGCTTACATTACAACACAATAGAAGCTTATATATTTGTTATAATCACAAACAATAATATAAAAGACCATTTTTCATATCAAAATTTGGAAAAAGGACTTACAAAAATAAAAATGTTGATCAAGAAGGATCAGTGGCACCCAACATTTGTAATACATAAACTAAATAATCATATATTTGAAAATCTCATTAATCAAAAAATTTTATCTCTAATTTGTTCATCATTTTTAGAATTGACTCCATGTGTCATTCTTGAAATAAAAGATAGTAATTCTTAAACATTTAAAATAACAAAATAAACTTTTGTTAAATTTGAAACTGATGAGTCGTACTAAGTAGTAATGATTAATGTATGATGATTGTATTAATTATTACATTTATTTAATTTATACTTATAATTTGAGTTTGAAAATTTAAATAAAATATAAAAATTAAAGACAATAAATACAATTATTTTTATTTTATTTACGCTTAGCTTGGCCAGAAGTAGCTCGTAAGACTGCACCAGGACTAGGATATGGTCGCATTTGAAATAATGGTCCAGAAGCAGTCGTGTCCACCCCAGATTTCGCTTCCACAGTTAGTCCATCACTCCAAGAACCCCTATAATTAAATAGTGGATAAAATATGTATATTATGTATGCACAAATAATACATAATATATAAATATTAAGAATTTCATCAAAATCCTATTAATTAATCTAATGAATACACTTTATGCAATAACTAATAACATTTAACAGATTAACAGTACATACGTATACTTCATTGAAGTTTAATGTTACCTGGAAATATCTGAATATGCAGCTGGATCCATAGGATCGAGATCATTGTGTTTTGTTACTCTTCTTGGAGGATCTTTACGTTTTGGTTCACGATCATATCTCACTTCTTTAGCGCGGATTTCTTGAACAGGTGGTGGCATAGGATTTTTTTTTCTTTTTTGCCGTTCATCTTCACTATCATCACTACTACTCTATAATCATATTAAGTAATACTTAAAAAAAAAACCTAATATTTACATATTTATAAAATTACAAAAGTAAAAGCCTCAACTAATTTAATACTTTCTGAAATAGTTGCTTGATTGATATTTATATAGTAACATAAAAAAAAAACATGAAAGACTACAACAGTTATTAATAATTTAATTGATTACCTCTGAGTCTGAATTCTTTTTATCCATATTTTGCATTATAGCATGACGTTCAAACCGAAACTGTGCAACTGAATCAGTAACAATTGAACGAGGGTGGCTAGGAGGTAGCCAACAAACTGAATCATTCACTACATCCCAGTAATAAAATCTGCCACTAAAAAAAATAATTAATATTATTAATTTAATAAACTGTATTATGAAAAAATACTGAATTATTGAACAATAAATACCAAATGTATTAATATTCATTTTTTTTTTTTTAAATTGATCAATTATTTAAAATTAATAAAAATCTCAAATACTTATTGTAAAGTTTCAGATATAAATTATACACATTATTTTTAGTAATAATTAATACATTACTAGTTTATACTAAACTAATTAAATTATCTAACTAAAGAGTTATAAATTGAACATTGCCAGAATGAAGATACATTTGATCATTTAAATTATGAAAATTATTAAAGTATCGATTATACTTAGATAAAAAAAAAAAAAATTAATTGAATGTTTAAAATAAATAATCTTTAGGTACTGATTTGTTATAGTGCCACCGTATATATAACAATAAACATGTCTTTCAAATATAAAATAATTCAATGGAAAATACATATATTACATATTACATAGCATTACTATTAGGTACCTAATAATCAATAACATAATATTAATTTATTGAAATAGATGCCATAGTTGGCTTAATATCACCGATATAAAATAATTTGACGTAAAATATGTACCATTATTATTAGGTACCTAATAATTGTCAATCAGCCAAATGGGGCAACAAAAAATGTAGAGGAACAGACAGAATTTTTTTAGACTTTTACATGGCAAAATTTATAAGATGATCAAAACCATAAACATTTTTATATAATATATTATTTATACATTTTTAACATTATCATATTTTTAAATTTTTTTTTTTTATCATATCATTGAATTATTAGATTAATAAATATCAATAAACAAACTCATTATTTTATATTTATATGATGTGTTTATAACTATATGGATAGCGAAGCTATAAAGTCTTCACTCACTGCGGCAGGGCTATAACAGGCCAGTACCAATTTTTAGTACAATTAATAATTAATGTTTTAAATATATATACATTAATATATATATAAACCATTAAGCAAATTATAACTACTTGATTAATTAGATCACGCATATTTTTATTTATACTCATGTGCCTATATACATATAATAATATAGGAATCATTGATCTTAAAGTATATTGATAGTAAGAAGTAAATTAAATAAATATTTCTTACGTTCCAGGATCATAAACTTCATGCCAATTTTTAGGTAAAGGAAACTTTTCTAACATAGCATTTCTAGATTTTAAATATCCATTTTTTGGTCGTTTAATACCATTTTTCCACCGCTGTTCACAAAATTTAGTGCATTCATGATAAACGTTTGACTTGTTTGGACAACCATGATGACCCTATCACATATCATTAGATATATTACATTGATCAGTACGCATATAATTATTTTTCACTATAAAATTATCAAAAATTACTTTAAATTTATCTAAGACTTTAGGATCTGGTTTATCATTTTCTTCATCACTATCTTGTGAATCTGAACCTGAGTTATCATTTGTATCATCAATATCGTCATAACATTCTGCAATTACTTCTTCTTCAACTTCTTTTGCATTACTCTTTGCTAAAGTATGAAAAAAATATTAATAACAAAGTCTATATGAACTACATAGGTATATAATATTTAAAAATGTCATATAATATAATTATAAATTTTGACATTTATATAATTTAATTAGACTTAAATTAAATTTTGAAGTTATAGTAAAACAAATTTAAAATTTAATAATACATTCTTTTACAAGGAAACAAAAAATATATAATTGAGTTATGAGTACTTAAATTATAAAAACCAAAAAAGATTAATATTATTTTGTTGGGAAACTAAAATTTTTGTTTGAAATTATGTCTTGATAAATTTTTATAACTTTCCTTAAACTATCCTAATAAACATAATTCATATATTTCAGAAAAGAAATATTTAAACAAAGGTTTGTAAGAGTTCTTTGAGGCAATGATATCACATCATTCTTATTTACTATACTTAGTAAGACGTGTTCATATCAGAAAATATTATAATTTGAACATATTCTGATGATATCACCTTATCTTCCAACCATACTATTGCGTATTTTCACTTAGAAACTCACCTGAATACTCTTTCATAATGATTCATTAACTGGAAAATCAAAATTAACGAGATCAAGCACTCTTTTATGTTATCACTTTCATACTTTGACTTTATAACAGTCGACTTGTATTAATCAACAACCAACATTGCTATTTCTCATTTAACAAAAGTACCTGGGTCTTACATTAGACAGTCTCCTCATCTTAAAGACAAGCGAAAAACAAAATTCCAGACTTCATCTACTGACGGCATTATTTTGTTCAAACTTAACCTTACCAAACAAAATTATTTTATACAAAACTGTATTTTAACTACTGCGAGCTCATGGTATTGTTATATTACATGGTACCTATTACTAAAATTTAAAATAAAATAACTATACTTTGTCTCAAATTATTTTTCAAATTACTTTAAATTAACAAAACAGCTGCTCTCTTCTATAAAAACGTGTATGCCCAACTGTAAGATATTAAATAATACCATACAACTGATCAATGAGCTAGCATCACTTACACACCCTAAAAATCCAGACGTCTCAAAAAGAGCAAGTTTCACATCTTTAAAACGTAAGGTTTAAGCATTTAAAATATTAAGAGATGTTTCAAACATGTTTTCCTTTTCATTTAAAAAAAATTCGTCCAATAGTTGTGTAAATGATCTATATTACTTATTGTACAAACATATAGATTGTAATTTTTCGAAAAATACCAAAAATTGGTTGTATAAAATATCAATGTATGTTTTGCATACAGTTTACCTTCGTTTTCTGTAAGTATTCCTCGGGTAGCCAACTTTTTGGCCAAAGCTGGAGGCAAAGGCATTGCTTTTAGTTTAAATTTATTAAATAAATCAATATAATTTAAAAAAGATCATAATTTGAGAAATTACTAATTTTTTTGAATTCGATGTTTAAATTTGTATTAGTTTAGTAATTTAGAATACTTATGTTTTATGGTTATTAACTTTTATTTAAATTAAATTATTATTTATTAATATTGAATATTAATTATTAATTATCATTACTGTGATTATCAGTAAGTAATAATTATAACAAATTATATGTGAGCCATGATAACATTCGTTGTTCTGTGATTAAAGAGAAGAAGAGCTGATAACCTTAGAATTAAAATTGTAAAATTTTTTTAATTAGAAAATTTAAAAAATTTAAAAATATTTTAAGCCAAATTACGTCAAATTTGATGGTTTTAATTAATATGCATCGATGGTTTTTGTTTCAATATATTACTATCGTATTTGTGTAATTTATTTTTCATTATCCATTGGCGGGACGTTTGCCTCCCTGCGTCGAAGCGACTATATGGGTCGTACAATACATCCCCACCATCCGGCACAAAACTGTTTGTCATCCGACGAGTAGAACGTTCTAGAACATTCCCTGATCGATTCACGTTTGCCGGCTCTACGAATCGCGTGTGCTGTGCCAAGCATTCCGTCGGCTTACCTGGTTATCAATTCATTCTTTTTTCGACCGCGTTCAAAGTACCGCGAATTGTTCAAAAGCTGTTCGTTTTTTTTTTTTTTGTGTTTCTCATAAACGACGCGCACACACCTACCGATCGACACATCCACGTGATAATTCCTTACCTAACAATTTCCACTAGTCAATGGCAGCAATGTCCGTAATAGGTATAGACTTCGGAAATGAATCGTGTTATGTGGCCGTGGCCCGTGCCGGCGGCATCGAAACGATCGCCAACGATTACAGTCTGCGAGCAACACCGTCGTGCGTGGCCTTCAGTCCCAGGAACCGCATCATCGGTGTGGCCGCCAAGAATCAAATGGTCACCAACATGAAGAACACCGTGTACGGTTTCAAGCGATTGCTAGGCCGGTCCATTGACGACCCGTTCGTCAAACAAGAGCTCAAGCACCTGCAGTTCGGCGTGGTCAAGTGCGACAACAACAAGATAGGTATTAACGTCAACTATCTTAATGAACAACAGACATTCAGCGTGGAGCAGATCACTGGCATGTTACTGACCAAACTCAAAGAGATATCTGAGTTATCGCTCAAGACCAAGGTAAACGATTGTGTCATTTCAGTTCCTTCTTATTTTACAAATGCTGAGCGCAAGGCACTGCTTGACTCTGCGTCCATTGCTGGACTCAACGTCCTGCGCCTGTTCAACGAAACCTCTGCAACAGCACTGTCCTATGGTATCTACAAACAAGATCTTCCTAATCCCGAAGAAAAGCCACGTAATGTTGTATTTGTTGACTGCGGATACACTTCCCTTCAAGTTTTCATATGTGCATTTAACAAAGGCAAGCTGAAAATGTTGGCCAGTACATTTGACTCTCAATTGGGTGGTAGAGAATTTGATTATATTCTAGCCGAACATTTCAGTAAAGACTTCAAGTCCCGTTATAATATTGATCCAAGAACTAATGCCAGGGCTTTTTTGAGATTATTAACAGAAGTCGAAAAGATAAAGAAACAGATGTCTGCTAATTCCACCAAATTACCAATGAACATTGAGTGTTTCATGGATGACAAAGATGTGCATGCGGATATTAAAAGATCAGAATTTGAAGAACTAGCCATGCATTTGTTCAATAGAGTTGAGACCACATTAGAACAGTGCCTTAAGGATTCCAAGCTGAGTAAAGATGACATTTATTCTGTGGAAATTGTTGGAGGCTCCAGTCGTATTCCATACATTAAGAACCTAATAGAAAAAATTTTTGGCAAAACACCTAGTACTACTTTGAACCAAGATGAAGCTGTGGCGCGAGGATGTGCTTTACAATGTGCAATGCTTTCACCAGCTGTACGAGTAAGAGATTTCAGTGTTACTGATATTCAAAGTTTTCCTATTGAACTCTTATGGGATCCAGCTGATAACTCTGATGAAGGCCGTGCAGAAGTTTTCCCCAAAAATCATGCTGTTCCTTTTTCAAAAATGTTGTCATTCTATAGATTAGCTCCATTTACTGTAAAAGCTCATTACTCTGGTCCTATTCCTTATGCAGATAGTTATATTGGTCAATTCACTGTTCGTGATGTCAAACCTACAGCTGATGGGGCTAGTCAAAAAGTCAAAGTAAAAGCCAGGATTAATTTACATGGTATATTTAGCATAAGTAGTGCTACACTTTTAGAGAAAGCTGAATTACTGGAAGAAACTCCACCTTCTGAACCTATGGAACCAAATGAGAACGAGCCCCAGCCAACTGAACCTGAAGAGAAGAAAGAAGAAAAGAAAAAATCTGTTACAAAAACCATTGATTTGCGTATTGAATCTTTGACTCATGGATATTCGACTATGGATTTAAATAATTATATTGAGCAAGAAGGTAAAATGGTTGCATCTGATCGTCAAGAAAAAGAAAGAATTGATGTTCGTAATAGCCTTGAAGAATACATTTATGACATGAGAAGTAGAGTTTCTAGTGAAGAGGATTTAGCTTCCTATATAGTTGATGCTGATAAACAAAAAATTGTTCAACAATTGGAAGAACTGGAAACTTGGTTATACGAAGAAGGTGAAGAATGTATTAAAAATATTTACTCAGAGAAATTGGATTTGTTAAAAATGGTTGGTGAACCCATCAAGAGACGTAAAGTAGAGTATACAACTTTCCCATCTATTAAAGATCAAGCTGTCCAATTAATTTCAAAAGCTGAAAGAGATATTGATGCATTTCACAAAGGAAGTGAGCAGTTCAACCACTTAGACAGCGCTGAAGTTGATAAGTTGGCTGAAACTCTTAATAATGCTAAAAGTTGGTTGGAAGAAAAGACAGCCAAAGTAATTGCATCTCCATTATACAAAGACATTCCGATCAAGTTAGATGAATTTGTTAGAGAGAAACATAGTATAGAAGAAAGTATAAACAAAGTTTTATACAAACCAAAGCCTGCACCACCTAAAGTGGAACCCCCACCACCAAAGGAAGAAGAAAAAAAAGAACCTGAACCAATGGAAACTGAACAACCAGTTGAAAATGGTAAAGACGCTTAAGAATGTTACTTTTAACACTTTTTTTTTTTCTATTGTTTAATATGTTTAATTTTTTTTATTTCAAAACTATGCCACCTTTATATTTATATGTTTGTATTCACAAATATGAAATAATTTTGTAAGCAACATTATGTATTACAGTTTAATAGATGGAAAAAACAAATTTACTAGAACAATATAGGAATATTATGTTTCATTATTTTTCCTGCTCCTGTGTTAACTATTAATTTATTAACAAACTTTGATTAAAAAAAGTAAAACATTGTTTATCACGTTTATTGGTAATTAATAAACTTTATTAATCTGTCTAATATCACCGTTGTTCGCAGTTGATGTACCTTAGTTAAAATTAATACATTAATATTTGAAGTATTTTTAAATCTTATAAGTATTTTATTAACTGTGTCCCATTTTACTGAATGTATAATTAAATATAATCATTTTATTCCTGGTTATTAATGTCATTTTAATATTTTGTGTTGGTTCTTATTTTCCAATAAATATATTATGTTTACATGAACTAAATCATAATAATTACTAGTTTTCATTATTATGTATTGAGAATGGCATGTATGTTGTGGTCTTTATACATCTATACATCATACTAAAGTCAAAATATGATATATTTTTATCGAATTCTTAAATCCTATTTTTGTAATGATGACTAGCATAGATTAAATATACTTTTTATGTATACTTAATCTATGTGACCAGGGACTCTTTAAAAAGTACTTAAATAAAAAAATTATTTGTTATTAAAACCTCATAAAACAGAAATGTAGAGTACTTTTACGTGGATACTGAATTCTACAAATCCAAATAAGGATATAATTGTTATTAACAATTTTTTAATAATTATTAAAGTAACCTACGCAAATCTAACTGTGGGCGTAGACAGTAAATAGATTGATATGATAAAAATAATATTACAGTTTTGAACAATTGAATTTAGGAATTTATTTGTATTTTGTGCTAAACATGGTCAACAGTTTATTTTAAACCTTTGTAATGATTAAACTGCAATCAATAATCATTATAATGTTATCTATTGAAACCTATAACCTAGGTTCTGGTTTTTTCCCCCATAAATAATTGAGATTTATCGCCCAACAATATTATTTAGTATTTACTGCATGTAAGCTGCACACCTGCAGACTGCAGTTTAAGTTCCAATATTAATATGCCAAACATACTATTCGCCATTCGGTAAATAACTATAAATATTAAATTATAGGATTGAATAAAAATCAATCGTAATTGTTGTGTTAATTTTGTAATGGGTAGGCAAAAGATAACTCTTTTACGACTTGTTATTTTTTTCGTCAATTGAATTTATCTGAACTGTATATTTTTTCTTTTCATATTATGTAATTTAATTAAACTATTCTAACACGTGCTTAGGCTTTAAGAGGTACCTAAATATTACAATATTTATATTTAGTATTATTGCATGTGAAATGTAAGGTAAAATTTTTTTATAAACAAATAGGTCAGCAGCAGTAATCATACAAATTTGGTCGGTGTACAAACATAGATGATTTAATACTATTAAATAAAAATATTTTAATGATTTATGGCCGTATATAAAATACAGAAAAATAAATTATACAATAATAATAGTATACCATTAGTCATCGCCTCGATCGGTGGGATGCGGACCACGTATTATAATATTTGCAAAGTCGTGGGCGGGCGTTAATATTAGATGCATGGCAATTGGCGACTGACTACTGAACGCAAAAAACAAAATTCATTTACATTCCCACAATCCAACCTTCTTCCGCTCGATGTTCTAACGGGTATTGTAAAAAAGAATCCAAATTCGTCAGTATACCCACTCGTAGAATAACTCCAATAGTGCGATTACGCTGAAGCTTGAAGTCGAGTATTTGCATGATATCGTTGTTCTAAAATAACAAATTGTATTGATTTAACACGTTACAATAGTAAATTCCGACTAAAAACGTAAAACATTTAAAATTTTTTATATCCACATTAGATTACGATCAATTAATAATTAATTCATATTAATTATGATAGATGGTAATATCAATATGTACACAAATTCTTATTAACAATTAATATTGGCCACCTTCTATTATATACATAATCGTAGCTACTAGCTAGGATTTTAAGGGGGGAGGGGGCAGGTTGATGACCTTATTTTTTTTTTTTCTTTTTCGATTTTTTAGTAAAACTTATACGTTTGATAGGTATAAGAAATAGAATTTAATTTGAGTCGCGGGGAATGCCCCTCAAGCTACATCCATGATTATGTGTGTTTGTAAAATTGTAGTAGGAATTATAAAAATTCATTTTTTAACATGATTTTGGGCTGGGTGACACTGAATATCACTACTTATTATGTTACCTTACAAATTACAATTAGTAATTATTAGGTATAATAATAGGTACTTCATAATAAACAATGATATATTATAACTTAAAATTTTAGGTATCCTACTTAAAATATTTAAAAGGCTAAAATGTAGAACTAACAATATACTATAAGTGATTATATAATTATAATTATGCTGGGGTTAAGAGGTTTCAAAATTTAGTACCCTTTGTAAATGTATATGCAGATCAATTAAATGAAAACGGGTGAAAAAAAACACAAAAGAAATCAAAAAAATTTTCTTTTAAGATTTTGAAAGTGATAGGATACAAAAATTTTTTTAAAATTACTTGACAAACAATAAGCTAAAAAGAGATAGCTTAGTAATATCCTCATAAGTAGTTTAAAAAGATAAAAATATCCTAGACATTATACAAATTATAATAGCTGATATAATTTTACTAACAAGTAAAAGTTTTATTTTGTTAATAATTAGTAATTATTAATTTATATATATATAAATGCAATTCGTTCCTAATAAAATATTGATTTATTATTTTAATATTTTTTTTAGCAAAAAAAATTAAGTATTTAAGTAAAGAATTTAGGTACATGATAAATATTATATATACAAGTTTTGATGTTAAATTAATACTAAAATAATTTTAATATATTTTAGCACTTTATTCTTAGCTTACTATGAATGTACCATAATATTATCAGTTTATTCTTATATACCATAACTAGATTACATAATAATACATTATAATTTATAACCTTCAGAGTGAAGTCTTAAATCTCATTAAAAATATTTAAATTTCAATAAATAATCTACAAGTTTTATCAGTAATCAATAATTTGTAATATTAAAATTCATATTGTGAATACTATTTAATTTTAAAAATTTAATCAACACTTCAAAAGATTTTAGTTTAATAGGTAGTGCCATATTGGATTTTAAATTTCTATTTCATTTATACATAATTAAATATCCAGTTATTATTTATTAACATAAGGTTTTAAAAATACTAAATTGAATATATTGAAACTACTGTTTTAATTTATTGATCTTCCACTTTTGAAAATATATTTGAATTAATATTAAAAGTTATGTAATTAATTATTTAATATTTAAAACTTATAAATTATTTGTTAGCAAATTCAAACTGAGTATTAACTTTTATAAAGTAAAAAAAAAATGTTTCTTTAATAAGAATTATTAATGAATGAGGAAGGAAAAAGGAAAACAATAAAATGTAACTACAATTCAATAATTAACATTAGTGACTTGGTTGTTTATATTTCAAAATCTGGTTCAACCCATAGTTCATACTTTAACAACTTTTTAAAAAGTAAAAACAATGTTTATTTTCCTTTGATATAAATACCTTAATCTTTTAATCATAGTGTAAATAATCTGAAGACTGATAGATTGTTTAATTACATTATTAAAACAGTTTACAAGTAATTATCATTTTCCTAGGGTTTAATAATTAAAAAGAGAATTTGAAAATTTAGCCACTAAGAAAAAAAAATAATATATTAAAAGAAATGTTCTGCTCGTATGACATTTGGTCATTTGTGAGCATTATTTGTCCAAAGCAGTGTTTGTCTTAATGGCAATCACACATTCTTCACCACAGGATTTCAAGACAGTACACTGAAATCAAAGAATATACATTATTAATAAAAAATTCATAACATATACTTAGAAAATTATTAACAATTAACTTTTTTTTTTAACATATTCATTTTATTTTACATTTACAATAAGTACAATAGAGGAGTTAACATTAGAGGGCTTAGTTGGCTTGATTGAAGAAGCTATTCAATAGTACTTCATGGTGTGGGTAGTAGTGGTTAGTCAACTAGAAAGTCAAGGCACCAGCTACGCATTAAACGTCAGTTAGGGTCACCATGAGAAGGGTTTGTTGGCGAGTTGCTAATTAATTTAAGATGAAAGCATTTGTATGGAATTCTAACGTTTTTAACAGTAAGAATAAAGAGATCACTATGGAAAGTATTAATCGATACATAAATAGGAACTTTGGTTATTTGTTAGAGGCATTTGGATTCTGTTTATATTTGAGTCTTTAGCTGATCCTCAGAGTTGGATTTCATAGAACCAAATAAGTTTGAGAAATAGCTTGAATATAAAAATTATATTATAAAGTGTAACATGTTTTGACGAGAGGGGGCAAGCTATCTTTGACGATTGTTGAGAACTAATTATTTAATGTTTGTGGGCAGTCTACGCGAGTCAGCTATGTAAGTATAAACCTAGGTAATAAATATTTAGGGCGATTGTAGAGGTTGGTAGTCAAGTGTGATAGAGGACAGTTTATGGGTTCAAATGTAAATGCAAGTGAACGGATTGGATTCACTGAGTTTGAATCCTCACACTTTGTATTATGCTGAGAACATATCAAGGTAGGTTTGAATCCTATAAAATGCATCAAGAGGGCCTTGATGGAGGGTTAAGATGACTAAGTGAAGTCATCAGTGGTGATACAGTTGGTGGTGGGTTGATCTGATGTGTACAGATTAAAAAACAAGAGAAGTACTGCTATAGCTCTAATAAGTGTCTCTGCAGATTAGTTTCTTTACAAGTCATTACAACATTTTGTTAACTATGCAATGTACCTCGAGAATGATAATTACTGAAGGCTACTTGTAAATAATAAATAGAATAAAATGATTTTGAACATGTGCAAAACGATTGTCTACTTACCAAAAGCTCTTTTCCAGCATCATATTCATTTTTCAATTGTACACCAATTTCAGCTTCAGGAATCTTTAAGTCTTCACGCAAATCACCATTATCAGACATCAAACATAAATAGCCATCATCTGATATGTCGGTCAACTAATTACAATAAAAGAATATATTTTAAAACACATTTTTTATATTGTAAACGTTAATAGTTGTTGAAATATATTAATTTTAGATTTTAAACTTGAATAGAAGGGAATATATTTTTGTGACAAGTTTAATAGTTTAACCAAGTAAGTAATCCTTGTGTTTTAACTTTATTTGAAGAACATTCAAATTTTAGCAAACTAAAGAAATTCTCAAAATATTTTATTACAGATGTTAGCTAGTTTAAAGTAATGTTTCAAATACATTAGATGTTTTAATATTTGAATAGTTTGACTTTAATCAAATATTTACTATTTAATTATTATATGTTTTCTTTTACTTATAATAAAAGTCACATGTAAAGATTTAATAATAATTGATTTTAATATTAACTGTAGAGAATGTGAAATAATCAATTACAAATAAAATACAATATTTTAAATTATTGCTAATACTAATGCCTTCCTTAAATATTAAACTTAACATTACACAAATCCAAAACTAAAAACTGTACATTACTTAAGTGTTTTTAAAATATTCAAATACAAAAATCATCTCTTTTAAATTCACTTATTTAAAACTTATCATTTAAATCAATTCTTAATAGATAATTTAAATATAAACAATGGTGAAATATCCTAAAAAAATTATTAAAATACATACATAAAAGAAAGCATTATTAAATGCTTCATTGATCACTTTTATAAGTTTTTAATTGTCCTAGTTTTATTTATATACTTAACCAACTATTAATATTAACACACAGCAGTTGAATTAATATGGAAAAATTAATTACCTGATAATCTTCACGTTTAACAAATGGAACATCCATGTTGTGAGTTGATGGGCATATATCTTCATATTTCTTACCAGAAAATATATCTAGGCCAACTAAATGGACTTTAGCGTGACCATGCTTACCAGTCTTAGATGTGGACATATCCACAATTTTGCACGGGCGAGCCTTTAAAACAATTTAAATCATATAAATAAATATTGTGGAAATAAAAAGCAGTATAATTAAGTGAAAGCATTACATGAGGTAAAAACTAATTTTGTTAATAAACGAATTTATTAAAAAAATTAATAAATAGCTTTTATAAAATAATTTAACAAATAAATCATTCACCCAGTAAATAAAAAAAATATATAATAATACATAGTTTGTGCGATGTTAAACATTACTTTTAACATAACGAAACCATTCTTTCGTAAAGCTGAACATTGCATGGGGTATGTGGTCGAAGCACCAGAATCTCCGGTATCAAAGTGAGTATCTTCAATGTCAGCCATTATTCAAATTAGAACTACAAAACACAAAGAACTCTAAATTACACAGTGTAAAATTCGTTTGAAAAATTATTCAGTCATGAACTGCAGTCAGCAGTATGTAAGTATTGATGACATCCTGTTAACAGAATTTAACCTAAAAAACCTCGTGAGATGATTTGTTTAACAAAACAATCAATTTACAGAAATAAACACGTAAGATGTTAATACGTTTTACTTACTTTGTTAACAAAACGAATAACAAAATGAACTATACTACTTAATAATATAAGTTAAAAAAAGAAGTACAAAAAAGCTTAGAATTCTTTTTTAATTCAAAAAAAGTACTGAGCCTTTAGTTTGGGCGACACAACAGCAAAAAAGAGACAAACGATAAGTCGGCGATATTTTGGTGTGATTACCACCACCAAAGAATCAACGATGTTTGTCATGGAATACAAACTATGCGTTCCCGCCAGTGTTCAAATAATTCTAACAATACCATATTACAAAATGTTAATTTTTTTTTTCAAATTTAATAATATACATTTTTTTAAATATAAACAGCTATCACATCTACATAGCTTATATATAAAAAAAAAAAAACATTTAAATTGGTTATATTTTAGTAATCAGATTTTTATTCTTGGTTATCAGCATCCGTGAAAAATATTTGTTCATTTAAAACGTAAAATAAATTAATAATTTGAAACTTGTATTACAAAATAATTAACAAATTTTCGTAATTTTATCGACAATTGAACTTCAAATGCTTATAAAAAAATTAATACAGGTCATTAGTATCTTTAAAAAGCAATAGTACCATTCAATTTATGATAAACATCACAATACTTTTATGCAGTTGTTTTTATTTAATGAAAAATTGTATTAATCTCAATAAAACATAAGTAAACTAAAAAATGAAATAATACCAAATGTCTTACAATAACATATAAACTTAACATTTTATAAGATTTTTTTATGTATGGAAAATACTATAATAAATATTTTTATAGTTATTAGTTTTACACACCTTAGAAATTAAAAATTTTCGTAAAAATTAAAGTTTTTTCCTATGAATTATTTTTTTTATAAATCAAATTTGTTAACATAAACAACTCTAAATGTTAAAAATAAAAATCATTTTTCTAAAATTTTTTTTATGCATACAAAATTTAAATGAATAATTTGTAAAATGATATCAATACTTATACATTTATTGCTTTGCCGAGAATCTAAAATTACAATAATTATTGCAAATTTAAGTATATTAGTAGTTTTTACTTACAATTTATAAAATACTATAAGATGGAGTGATTAAGCTAAATATTCTCTACTCCTAACTAAGTATTCTCAAACTTCAAATACAACTTTTTCCTATAAATACAGTATTGAACAAATCCCACAAATTTTATAACTACACAATATACACTAAAAATCCATACTTCAATCAAGAAGATACTTATCTGAAATTTGATTTTTATATACTGGAACACTTAAAAATAATATTTTACTTTAAAAAATGAAATTCAAAATATTTTTGTTAATTACACCATTAAAATGTTTTTAATTTTTTTAGTTTTTAAAAAATCTTGCAAATTAAAAACAAATAATGGTTTTATAAATTAGTAAACGCTTAGTAATCTGCAATTTTGTTGCTATTCTATTTATTGAGAGGACGTCATATTTGCATATGTTGTTTCGGTTTTACTAACTTACAACATAACAAATTTGTTAATTTTAGTTACAAAGTCATAAAGAAATTTATATTATCCAGGGAATTTTATGGAATTTTATTAAAAATACAGTTTTAAAGAGAGTTATAAGCATTTTTAAGCTCTAATATTTTACATAGCTTAAACTCACTTTAAAATGAAAATATCAATAAAAGCTGATGATATGCCTAGAATCTAGATAATATTCTTATCAATCCTATCTTTAAGATTTATAATAAGTTATTATAAAAGCTAACGGCTCAACATAAAATCTGCCAAATGCACATTTTTTTGTACATTAGTAAGACGGAGATAACACACACAGTTAAAATATACTCTTAATCATGAAAATAAAATTACAAATTCTTATAACAATTATTATTCAAGACAGCTTTAAAAAAAATATATTTTCTCTTTATGTATGATTTTAATTAATAATCAAACTCAAATAAAAAACAGTAATTAACTAAATACCACACATAAATAGGATTATTGTAATGAATAATTATGAAATAAATTCAGGGATTGTAAAACATATATATGAAAAATAAAAACAACATCACACACTGGAGATCCAGTTATAAAAAATCATTTTATTTGATAGCTAAATTTAGCAAACAGTGGTAGATGATCAGATGGAGATACTCTGTTTGGCATGGTCAATATTGGCTGGCATTCGACAACATTTGGAAGCTTCATAATTGTTTTCAGTTTTAAATTGTTATTGCTATAACCATTCATAAATTAAATTAATTGTTTTAAATGTCATAAATGTATTACTATCTTACGTGTAAAATATGTAATCTACAATAGTCCATCGGTCATGATAAGTGGAACAGCTATCATTGTTATTGTACACAGAAGAAAACTTAAGATTATGATACAGATTTCCAGTCCCTGATCTAAAAATATTTTTTTATTAAAATTAAATAAAATGTAAATTATAAATTTAAACTATTAAAATATTAAAAATTAAGTTTGAATACTTGAATTCTGACGAAGATGATGATAAAAGTTGATCATTTTTTTTTTCACTATGATGTAACTGCATTTCCCAAATAAATAAAATTTGAATAAATAAAAAATATAATATAATTTCTAAGTAATAATGAAATTATTTATTTATTTTTTAAATAATATATTTAAGTTACCTTTGAATAAAGACCGTCATTAATTTGTCGTTTATGATTATTTTTTTTTCTTAATTCTAAAACATCTGAATGTTGACTATATTCATTGATTCCCAAACTTTTTGGAATAAGTTCATTACCCATGTCACATCTTCCACTTTGATTATTTTGAGATCCAAGTGTGGGTTTATGTAACTTACTATAATATAGAGCACCATTAATTAAAAATTTATACACAGCAGTATTAGGTTCCAAGTTAAAATCTCCAGTCAATATTATTGGATGGTATTCAGGAATATTATAATCACCAACTCTACAAAAGTAATTAAAAAAATATAATGATTATTATTTATCAGAATCAAAATAAATAGTGAGAATTTACACTATGTTCTTTACCCTTTAAAAGAAACACGTTCAATTTCAGCTAGTAATAAATGAACTTGTGCCAATTTAATATCATGTCTTTTTTTGTTGTACAAAATATGTGTAGTTGAAATAATTATATTTTCTTCATCATATTTTCGGGGTGACAATCTCAACACAATACCAACATTGTCTCTATCTAATATATTTACTCCTGGTTGGTTGTATTCAACAGTAACCTTTTCTTTTAATGTAAACTTGTTATTTTTGTAATAAATTGCACATCCATCAGAATGAATACGAGTACGTTTTTTATAAACACCATTATATCCTAAATAGAAATAATTAAGTTTTATAAATTGATTTGATTGGCATTTATATCAAACTTCATTGTTTTTAGATTTGTTATAATAAATAATTTACCTAAATTTGATAATTGATCAAAAAACCAATTTAGATGAGATTCTTGAACTTCTTGAAAGCAAATGATCTGAAAAAAAATGTATAATTTAAGTTATGATTTTATGACAATTATTTTTAATACATTAAATATATTTATTTATTTTTATTAATTATCGGTAAATACATAAATTTATATAAATATATATTGTTGTTGTAATATAAATATATAATATTTTGTGTATTGATTTAAAGTTATTACAAATATATGTTTATGGTAAGTATTAGATTAATAATTTTTAATTTTTTAAAGAAGAACCTTTTATTTGTAATACTTGATACATCAAATATAAATTATAATAGCCTAATTACCACAATAACTTTGTGAAAATTAGTGGTATCATTATCATTTATATAAGGAAGGATAAAAGATTAAAATTTGCAACTTAGCATATAATTTTTAAATTTCTTATTAGTTATTATAAAATACATAAATTTTTTTTTATAAGTATCTTTTAAGAGGAAAATATACAATCACATGTTCTTTGACTTTGTGTAAAACATAACAAATTTTACATCTAGATTTAACTATTTAACTTTATTATTTTTAATCTTAAAGTGAATTGATCTATTATACAATTTAAAGGTAAAATTATTATCAAAGATTTCTTATAATCATATTTTGATATTTAAATTAGGAGGCAACATATGACTATTTCAAAATTAACAAAAAAATTACATTTTTGAAATATTCATAACTTGTTGTTTAAAATTTAAATGTCAATAAATTATTACATGAGACCAAAAATAATATTTTTACTTTTAAATGTTGTAAGAATAGGTTAATTTACAATAAAATTAAAATATATAATTCTGAATATAGATTAGCTATAATATGTATTTATCGGACAGAAAAAACACATTATGGTACAAAAGTGCCTTAAAAGGTTATGGAAATACTATTATATATGGTTAACCATATTATAAGGCAACAAAATATAATATAAATTTAATAAAATGTAACTATTTAATTTATTTACTTATTATTGCTAAATATTATGCACAAGAAATTTATATAACATTGTATTAATAATAATTTATACTGAAACATTTCAGTAACAGAAAAATGAATCATAAATTACTAACATTTTAATAAAGATATAAGATATGATTGGGGTGATGGCCTTTTTTGTCATTGATAAGAATTACTAGTGAATTGTCAATGTACATATGTTATGTGATATTATATATTTTTATGTATAACATAATAACTTATGAAAAAAATATAAAACTATGTCTTATAACTATAAAATAATACTTACATCTGCATTAAATTGTTTAATTTCGTTTAACAAAAGGTGTCTTCGATAGTTCCATTCCAACACTTTCCTATCTGACCAATCATATAGAAATGCATTTTTTTCTATTAAATCTTGAGCTAGTACATTATATGATAACAAACTAAAATTAAAAGTCTTGTACCTGTCTGAAAAATAAAAAAAAAGTTAAAAAATATTAAAGACTAATTGTTGTAACCTGTTATAATTTTGGTGATGCACCAAAGGTCTAATGTAATTCATGTAGTCCTTCATGTTAAAGTCTGAAAAATTTTTATTTCTAAATGAGATAGTAGATAAATGTTTTTAAAAATAATAGAAGCTTACTGCATGATTGTTGTGGAAATACGGCAGGCAAAATTAGTAACTGGATATAAACGACACAACAGACATATTTTATTAAATTTGTTGGTGATATACATAAAAGTAACAAGAATAACATAAATACTATAATAAAAATACTTGAATGATCAAATTTGTCATGGATACTTCAATAAAATTTTATGATGATAGTTAATAACTACAGACTATAACTGTTATAAATTAATTTAATGAACATAGAGCTTATAAATAATTAACTAATGTAAAAGTATAACTAAAAACTAAAGTTAATAGTTAGTAGCTTAATTATTTTGATATCTATTGTAGAATATACTGTACAAAATAAATAAAATATTTAAGATTATCAATTAGCTATTTGTCCATTGGTTGTGTGATAACTGATAATAATAAAAACTGATAAAAACCAAATTAGTCCGCGTATTATGAACCATGATTAAATTATTATTCCTTAGAAAAACCAAATGGCAAATATAAGTATTTTTTTTAGACTGATTCTTATTGTAATAGTGTACATGAAATTATTGAAATTCAAATATCCGGATTTATAAATTTGTTTTTTTTTTCTGATACTAATAAATAATAATCATTTTTAATTTAATGTAAAAAAATATTGAAAATAATAATACCACTTAGTAGTTACTTTTTATTTTCAATTGGATAACAAATTTTTTGGATGATCTGTGAAATTAGGACATCGAAAATCGGTATATACCCATTACTAGTGGTGTTGGTATATTACTAACATGAATATTCGGATTCCAAATAATTTCCAATACTATTCAAATAATCCGGATCCGGATATCCGAATCTGAATAATATCCAAATTATCTGAATAATCTGGATATTTAAAACTTGTTGCTTAATAATTAAAAATATAAATATTTGTTATTTAATTTATAGGTTTTAGACTGTGTTTTATTTAAGTCGATAAAACTTAAAATAATAGTTTGATTCAAATTTTACGCCCCTAGAAAATTTGAATTATTCGGATTAGGTATTCGGTTATTAAATTTTGAATACGGATTTTTGATATCACTACTAGAATTACTTTAATTCTAATTACTCGTACATGTTGTCCATGTTATAAGATTATTGAAACTTACTCAGTGCCGCATTAAGAAATTTTATGATTCGTCACAAAAAATAGTTGGCGTCCCCCTAAAGTGTATACACACGGAAAATATAGGAAATAAATTAATATTTAAGATTTTGAACAAAAAAAAAAAGAATAACGAGTGCTTTTTTTTTAAAAAAAATGTTAAATAATTGCAAATTGCATGATCTCCCTCCGCAAAGACATATTTGAATGTATGTCACTTGAACTCAGCTTATTATTTATTAGTTTATTACATAACTTGTTTTTTGTGTTTTAACAAAGTTTGTTCACGATTTTGATATCCACTTAAATTTTTTTTTATTCCAATCATAATTAAAATAATTAAAAACAAACATTGAAATATAATAATCTATAGCGTCAAGCAGTAAAAGAAATAATACGTAATCACATTGGCATCATTCACAAGTTAGGTGCTGTGGCTCGAAACGATCGAGTTTGTTGACTATTAACCAGCCCCTAAAATATTCAGATTTTCATACTACAACACATGATTCCGAATCTGCCAAATCTAAATAAATTTATTTATCCAAAAATGCATAATACAAATTAAATAGCAATATTTATAAATATATTATTTTATAACTGTGAACAAAATTAAATTATAATTAATTTACTAAGTGTTTCTTAAGGGACTTAGTTCTTTAAAATAATTTTAATTTCTCAAGTCAACTCTGAGCTCTGGTTTACTCTTGAATATTATTATTTTATAGTACATCAAATCGGATTAGTAATTAGTAATCGCCAATCGATAATAGTTACGTCTTAGTACCCTCCATTGGCTCCATTTATATTTTTTATTTTTATACTGAACAATCATATCAGCTTCTCATATTATGGATTTATAAAATGTATTTAGTCCAAATTAAGTATACACACATCTATATATATATATATATACATAAAAAAAATAATAAAATAAAATTTAATAAATATAATACGAGAGCCCGACGGCACGTTATGAATTTTCGAACCCCTTCAAGACGTCTAAATTCCCCCGACATGACCGCGGTACAAGACAGTTTGACATCCCACTGACGAGATTACTCGAATCGTTAACGAATGCGATCGAAGACTACCGTAATCAGCATCACTTCACTATGATTAATAATCTAAAGTTTAGATCGTACAATTTACGAGATCATGTACCTCCCGGATCCCATTTCCTATTCTCTGCACGACGTTCAATTCAATTCAGCCGCGAGTAGTAAGTCGTAGACCCAGCCGTAATAAATTGGTAGGCAAGGCAACATGGCGGGCCGGTCGAGCGCGGTTGACTCGGCGGCAGTCCGTACCCGTCGACGACGGCGATCGCAATTGCTTTCGAGTTTCGACTCTTCGCCGGAGTCGGCTAATCAATTCCGGCGGCGCGCGGCGACTCGCGGACCGCATACCGGGAGCAGCACAGCCGCGTCGGTGGGGGTTGACGGTGCCGACTGCCGACTGCAGCTGTGGGCGCGGTTGCGGGTCGTGGGAGGGGGGTTAGGTCCAGAGCTCCCAGTGCTTTATTAAAGATTATTTATGTGTCGTCGACCGTCGTTCCCGTCCCGTCCGTCTTCCCGTTCGTTCGTGCGTGCGTGTGCTTGTGCGTTGTTCGCTCCGAGTGAAAACACAACAATAACAAACGAGACGTCGTGTGCTCGCCGTTCCCGGGTGCGGATCGGGCTGCTCGATCGCGTTTTATGATGGCGCCGCGAACGACGATTTACGTACACGGGCCAAAGTCGACCGCGGTGGATCTGCGCTGATAACGCCGCCGAGTGCGTGTGTCGTGTGTGTTTGTGCGTTGCGAGTGTGTGCGCGTGTGTGCGTTTGCTGCGTATTGCGGTCCGGGTCCGCGGACCGACAATGGAAGAGACCAAAGTGATCTATCACATCGATGACGAGGACACGCCGTACCTCGTCAAGCTGCCGATTGCGGCTGACAAGGTTACGTTAGCCGATTTCAAAAACGTCCTCAATCGGCCCAACTACAAGTTTTTCTTCAAGTCTATGGACGACGACTTTGGGTCAGTGATAAGGACCAACCGTGTTATTGTTGCTTTGCTAGTCGTTTAATGAGCGCTGACCGTCACAATTGTATAATATAATAGTAGTATTATTTCACTACTCTATATTTGACGATTTCTCCGTCATTATAATCCATTATCGTGATACCCATCCTACGAATAGTTGCCAATACTCTGTTAAAAATTCTACTCAGTGTTTCGGCTTTGGTTAAGTCATACTTATGTTTTTTTGTGTGAACTACTGTACTTGCCATAACAAAACATCGGCGACCAGAATTACAATCCCCCATTCCTAATTTGTTTTATGAAAAAAATCTTGCATTTTTTTTTCTTACTTAGGTTTCTCAACCTTATCACTAAAGCTGGGAACAAATTAATTAGAAAGCTACTTTTAAAGTAAAAGTTCTCACCTAACTGGTTGGTTTTAATTGACTATAACTTATAAACCTAATGAGTTGAATTCATTATTTATAGTTATCTAATCTATTGTGTTTAAGACAAAAAATGACTTGTTATTTTCATGAAAATTTTTTTACTTCAAAATTCTCAATACTTTGAGAACATGAAACATAAAACTGTTATATGCCAACTGAATAGTATTTGATAACGAATATTTAGTAATTTTTGATAATAGATTAATACATTATACTATTATTTTCTATTAGTCCCTTATATTGTAAAGCATGGTTAATACCACAGTTATGTATTATGATATTTAAAATATTTATTTAGAACCGAAATACTCATTTAATAAAGTATTTGAACAAATAAATTCTTAAATAGTTATTTTTACCAATTAACTACTAAGTTAGAATTTGGGAAATTGCAGGATTTAATTTATATTTTAACTTATTCTTTATGTTATTGTAATTTAACTTAAGTCTTGTTAAAAAAATTAAAAACTATCCAGTTTTGTGTTATACAAGTACAGTTAAACTTCTTCAACTTGAAATCATCAATACTTCAAACTTTTTCTCTGGTCCTTAGAATTTCCTATTTAAACAAAGTCAAAAAATTTTGTTTAACTTGAATATGTTTGTGGATAACTCGAAGTTTTGAGTTTTATTAAAATTATAAAATTGTGATATTTCCCTCATATGCCTATGTGTATATTTTAATATCAAAAATAAGATCATTACTTATTAGTGTTATTGTTACTGATAAGTGGTTTAGAACGATTCACTACAAACATTGCGATCAACAGCAAAACTCAAACAAAAATAAATACCTTTTTTAAATAATTTTCTAACCTCATTGTTTATGCATACATACCTTTTTAAAATTACATATAAATAATTCATATTCATGTATAAATAACCTAGAAAATATTTTTTATTGCATTACTTTATTTATAATAAATACATAGGAATTAATATAATTTGTACTGCATTAAAAGTTTTTACTTTGGATAATTCAAACTTTTTTCTGGTCCCTTCAACTTCAACTGTAATTAAGTAGCACTGAGTTCTATATAATAGGTATATAAAGGTTTAGCTGTTGAAATGTGATAGGAATCAAATTTATTTTTATAGTTTTATCACTATTATAACATATGTAATCATTCCTGATTCATATTCCTGATTCCATCATTCACTATTATTCTTTATTATAAATTGTACTTAAATTATTTTATACAATTATTATTAAGCCTTTGAAATTGAAATTATTTGATTTATTACACAATTTATTTGATTTACGTTTACTGAAATAAAAAATTAATACTTACACTTACTTACTATTAAAATTTATTTTTAGTAGATCTTAGTAGTTTTTTTTATTTTTACTGTTTAATAATTATTATACATCTATGTTTATTTCACTGACTTTTTCTTAAATTTTATTCCAGAGTGGTGAAAGAAGAAATTGTTGAAGATGATTCTCCATTACCATGCTTTAATGGTCGTGTTGTTTCATGGGTAGGTTTATATTTAATTTTATCATTTGTTATTATTGTTATTTTGTAGGTACATATTGTTATAATTGATGTATTTAAATTTGTATACAAATATATTAATCTAGTTCTTAAAGTTCTTATTTTACATTTAATTTCAGTTGGTTGCTGCTGAAGGTAGTAATATTTCTGATGGAACATCCCAAGGCACTGATTCTGGGCATCATACACA